CAAAAAAAAAAATCACAAAAACAACAAACATTTGTCAATAGCGAATATTGTTGTTATTGTTTTTTTTACGTTTTTAAGTTTGTTTATTTATCTTCTTCGGTCTGTTTTTGTTTTGCCACCATTAGAAGGTGTGTGTGCCCTGTGTGGGAAGAGAATTTGCCGGATTGAGATGTTAAAAAAATGTCAACATCAATACGCGCGCGCATCGGTAAGCTTACCGGCTAACATCATGTCCGTCCGGCCAATTGCTTGTTTAGTTAGCTTCAGTTAAGAAATGACAAAATAAAAGAAATAATAACAAAATTAACGCTTTGAAAATAAAGTTTAATTGTCTTTCGCTTATTACCGAATGAAATTAAAAAAAGTAATGGAAGATTTGACACACGTTCGACAATGCGTTCAAACATTAGACGCGTATGACATATAAATGAACCTTCTCTCGCCAGTGAATGATACTATTTTGGTATTTCATTTTGTTAATACACTCTTCTACTCTTTTTTTAAAAAATAATATTATGTAAAATGTTGTTGTTGTTCCTTCTGCTGCTGATATAGCATTGTTTAGTTCAAATTAGATCAAGTTAAATACGTGCGTGAATTTACTTTAAATGGTCATAAATAGGCTCTGATGGTTATGGTGATTTGTTGTCATTTGACATGCGTCGAAAAGTTTATGTAATAATTAAAAAAAAAAACAACAACAGGAGCACCACCACCGTAGGTATGTGCGTGCGAAAAGAAATGTCATTTGTTGTGATTGTTTACGTTTCAAATTTATTCAAATTGTGGGGGTTTTTTCCGTAAACATTTCATGTTGTTTACTTTTGAGGTAAGAAAGTTAGTTATTAGCACCAACCAAAAGGAAATACTGAACAACTTGTTTGTCGTATAAAAGAATTGTTTGCGTTAGAAGCATATTTTTTTTTTTTTTTTGAATGACCAATGGATGGAGATATATTTGAGAACTTTTTAAGAATCGTTGTCTTTTAACAACTTTTTTTTTTGAAGAGAAATGGCCGCCTTATGATTTTAGTTTTGTTGCAACAGTTCGTATTAGGGCTTTTAAGCACTCAAAATGCACAATTTGTTCAGCTTGACAAAACCTTTGTATTAAAACTTCATAAATCGTACTAAATTTTCAGGCTTTTATGATTTTATATATTGTTCATAATTTTCCTTTTCAAAATTTGGGATTTCAGCTCCAAACATTCACTCAATGCTAAATTTTGTAACATTTAGTACTTTTCGTGTAATTTTAGTACTCATTTGCAAAACCGTTCCACACCCCTATCCTAGACACCAAGAGGATTTGCAATATACAATTTCAAGGTTTCAGCTCTATCCCTTCACCTAATTCCAGATTTAGTTCAATTTTTCTCTCGACCACAGACACAGACATCTATACCAAATTTCAAGATCTCATCTCCTCTCTTTATCACCCAATACCAAATTCAGTACTATTTAGTAAGTTTCGAAAAATTTTGTATAGTACTCATGTACAAAGCCACCATAAAATCTCACAGCAGATACCAACAGAAACCTTCACCAAACACCGAATTTAGTGCCACTTAGTACCTTTCGAACGATTGTAGTACACGTTTTCAAAACCACTTCCATATGTTAACCACAGACACGAATAGTGACATCTGCATCAAATTTCCGATTTGTTGTTCCATTTCTTCAAGTAGTACCCAATTTAGAACTATTTAGTATTTTTTGTACAATTATCGTAGATATTTCCAAAATCACCTCCATATTTCAATCCTAGATACTAACTGGGACCTTAATATCAAATTTGAGGATTCCAGACCTATCCCTTCACCCAGTACCAAATTTAGTACCATGTGGTACTATTGGTTCAAATATAAGATACATTCCAAACTACCGCCAAATCTCAAACACCAATACCACCTGTAATATAATTATCGAATTTCAGGATTTTACCTCTATACTTTCACCTAATTCCAGATTTGGTACCATTTAGTACGATTCGTGCATTTGTAGCGCACATTTCCAAAACCCCCTCCATATCTCAGTTCCAGATACCAACAGAAACTTTAATATCAATTTCCGGGATACAATTTAAAAATATTCGTACAAATATAGGCACCCAGACACCAACAGTAATCTTAATATTTAATTTAAGGATTTTAGCTCTATGCCTTCATCCAATACAGAATTTAGAACTATTTAGAACTTTTTGTACAATTATCGTACATTTTTCCAAAATCACCTCCATATTTCAATTTCTGACCTCAATATCAAATTTTGGGATTCCAGCCAGTATAATTTAGAACTATTCGTACAAATATAGTACACATTTCCAAAACCACCCTCACATCTTAACCACAAACACCAATATAGAAATCCATATCAAATTTCCTGATTTCAGCTCCATTTCTTTACCAAATACGAAATTTGAAACTATTTTGTACTTTTTGTATAACTATCGTACACATTTCCAAAACAACCTGATACCAACAAAGACCTTAATAACAAATTTGGGTATTGCAGCCATATCCCTTCACCCAATACCAAATTCAGTACCATTTAGTACTTTTCGTACAAATATATGACATAATTCCAAACCACAACCAAATCTCAAACACAAATACCATCAGTAAACTAAATTTCAAATTTCAGGATTTCTGCTCTATAGAACTATTTTGTATAATTATCGTAAACCACATCCATATCTCAATTCCAGATGCCAACAGAGACCTCAAAATTAAATTTCGGGAATCCAGCTCAATCGCTTCACCCAATCTCAAATTTAGTACAATTAAGTTATATTCGTACAAATATAAGACATAATTCCAAACCGCATCCAAATCTCAAACACAGATACCATCAATAAACCAAATATCAAATTGCAGGATTTCAGCTCTATTGCTTCATCCAATATCAAAATTTAGTACCATTCAGTACTTTTCGTACAATTATAGTATAGTAGTAATTTCCAAAACTACCCCCACATCTTGACTACAAACACCAACAGTGACATCTATATAAAATTTCCGGATTTCAGCTCTATTTCTTCACCCAATACCAAATTTAGTACAATTTAGTATTTTACGTACAAATATAGGACGCATTTCCAAACCACAGCCAAATCTCAAAACCCAGATACTACTGAATATCAAATTCGAGGATCTCAGTTCTATTGCTTCACCCAATAACAAATGTAGTACTATTCAGTGCTTTTCGTACAATTATAGTACAAATTTCCCAAACCACCTCCATATGTCCAGGCTACACATGAACAGTGACCCAAAATTTAGATTTCGCGCACTATCTCTTCACCAAACACCAAATTGTACCCAATATAATACTATTTAGTACTTTTCCGGCACTTGTAGTATATAATTCCAAAACAACCTCTATATAACAAATCTACTACAAACAGGGACCCCAATAGAAAATTTTCAAAATTCCAGCTTCATCCGTTCATCCTAAATTGTTCCAAATTTAGTACAGTTTGCACACTTAGTACACATTTCCAAACCCACTTTCACATATCAAACTTACTTTGCAACCTCGATTCTCACACCAATTTTAATAACCTATCCTGCACTTCATCGGTGACTCTCACTCCAAATTTCAGAATTCTAGCTCATTCCGTTTGTCCAATACAAAGTATTAAATTTTCAGTACATTTTTGTACTTTTCGTACCCTTTTAGTACGAATTTCATAAAAGCCCAGTCTTATCATATGCCTTCGCATCAAGACCGATCATCGTGCAAAATGTCAAGATTCTAGGTTCAGCCGTTTCGTCTGTCTGTCTATAGGTCCGCCGTTAACATTGTGATATGACATTCCTAAATCCCTTTCTGGAATTTGGTATTTTAATCGAATGGCATTTTTTTGCATGTTCTCCTGCTCATTAAAAGATAGAGTTTTAAAATTTGCACTCGTTCTTATAGTATTCCTGTGCTGTTTTGTATTGGAAATGTAACAGTACAGTAATAGCAATAACGTACCTCTTATTTGTAGGTATTTTAAAGTTTTTGGCCCGTTTCGGTGGCTACCTTTACCAAGTGTTTGGCATGTTTTGTTACAAATTCCCAACATACCCAGGTGTATTTTGATAATTCGATCAGGCTAGATACATTTTTGTCAAAAATATTCAATATTGCTATAGATCTCATATTCGGAACCCCCAAATTTTAGGGACTTTGAAAATTGTCAACTTAGTCATTAGACAAGTTGATAGACGATTTTAAAATCTCCTGAAACATTACATCATTTTAAATCGAAGATTTGTTTTCTAAATGGAAAATTGCATAATTTAACTCATTAACTCCCGGGGCCATAATCTGGCAGATATTAATTTCAATTCATCTTTTAAAATAATTTCTACACTTGATTGGGAGCAAAGGTCACCTACCGACAGAAACAAGGCGGTGTAAAAGCGAAAGTTATTTAAAAAAAAGTTTCCATAGAATTGAAGAAGAAATTTATCACTACTTGCAATGGAATAGGAATAGTGTTCGGAAACTGTTTTGTATTCGAATCTCTGGCCAGACTTTCTTCGTGGGGCAAAGTTAAGAAATTATGTAAACTTTGGTGGTTCCCTCCAAAATGAACTCGGCGATCAATCAATCATTTAAACCAGTGGGTGAAGCATGACGATGCGATACATGTGATTAGCACCATGCAGTATTATCCATCGACCATGTGACGTCATCGATTTTGCAAAATGCTTTATTTTTTGTTACTACTTCTTCTTCTTCCCCTTGTCGTTATGCCTTTGCTTTAAAAGTTTAATGAACTTTTTTTTTTTTTTTTTTGATTGACAACAAAATAACCAAAAATTAAAACAACCAAAATTATAAAACCCAAATGATTTATGACCACTATAACCGATCCCCGTTATATTATATCTGAGCTAATACTTTAATTTATAGTGTCTCGAAAAAAATATTATTATTATTTTGTTTGTTTCTCTTAATTGCTTTAATGTTGTGTCTGCAATTTTGTTTCGCCTCTCTTTTTGTAGCCTTTAAAAATGAAAAGCATCAGCACAGCACTGCCTCCGCTTCCAGCAGTAGTACGTCTAGATCGAATATGGATCACATGCCTGCCACAACGGAATCTCAAGCTTTAAAAGAAGCCCTTAGTAAATACAAACTCTTGGAAGCCGATTACAAATCGTTGCATGACAAACGGTTGCAAGATGTAAGTAAATAATAAAATATTTGTAAATTTTTTAAGTAAAATTTGTTACGAGGTTCGGTATGATAAGTGCATCAAATCAAGGATGTACACAAAAAGAAAAAAATAATGAATAAAAAAAATTTACGAATATGGAATCCTGCGATATCAAAAAGATTTTGATGTGTGTAATTTGAAGAGAACCGGATGCTTATTACTTTTTTTCTTATTCGAAACGTTGACCCTTTGTGGGGGAGGTACCAGAAGGTATAGTCCGATTTCTACCATATTTTTAACAGATATTGTGTTAATTGTACCTAGTCTGATTAGAATCGGATGTTAATTTCCCGATTTATGAGCTTCATGGATACTCAAAATTTTGAACTTTTGTGGGGGAGGTACCAGAATGGGTGGACCGATATATCCCATCTTCACACCAGACCTCGGTTTAATAAACATATTGTGATGTGTGTAATTTAAAGAGAGCCGGATGCTTATTTCGGGTTTTATGATTGTTTTTGTTATTCAAAACTTTGACACTTTGTGGTGGAGGTACCAGAAGAAATGGTCCGATCTCTACCATATTTATAAAAGATCTTGTGTTGGTATAAATATTGAAACGTATTAAGTTTGAATGGAATCGAATATTACTTTCGTGTTTTATATTATATGTTTTATTATATTGAATATTGAAAATTTTGAAACTTTGTGGGGAAGGTACCAGAAGGAGTGGACCGATATATTCCATCTTCACACCAGACTTTGGGTTTATAAAAATATTGTGATATATGCAATTCGAAGACAATCGGAAACTTACATCACATTTTTAAAGAGTTATAATTATTCAAAATGTCTACCCTTTGTGGGCGAGGTACTGGATGGAATGGACCGATGTTGTCCATTTTCGCACCTGACCTAGCACTGATGCGAATATTAGAATTTGCAAATTTGGAGCAAAATTGGAGTATCCTTTCTTTTTCTGTTCAGTAATTTGTTTTCTTTGAAAATGTTGACATTTTGTGGGAAAGGTACCAGAAGGAGTGGACCGTAATTGCCCATCTCCAAACTTGATTTAAGTGTGACGATAATAATATCAAGTATGGACCAAATCGGAAACTCCCTTCGAGAGTTATCGTGCACACCAGTCAGACAGACCGATGGACGGACGGACATCGCTAGATCGACCCCAAATGTCCTGAAACGGATTTGGCCCAAAGATAAAAAGCAGTAAATTCGACCGGACTTTCTACCATTTGGAACAAATTTGGAAAATAATAAATTAAAATCCGTTAAAATCTTAAAAATGCCGAATAAAGGGAGTTATCGCATAGACAATGTTCTGTCACATGCTGCAGTACCCATTACGAGGTACAATTACGAAGTTTAGAATAATTCCGGTGAATAATGGCGCTGAAACCAACAAAATTCCGAATATTGGAAGGTAATTTCGGTGAATAATGTAGCTAAAATCATAAAAATACCGAATATAGGAAGGTACCGATTTATGGGGGCTATACGAAGACCTAGACCTGCATAGACAATTTTCTGTCATAGACTGTATTACCCATTAAGAACTTTAAAATACGAAAATTGAAACATTTCCTGGGCATAATGTCGCTTAAATCATCAAATGGAGAGGTACCAATATTAAGGGGCTTTACAAAGTCCTGGACCTGTATAGACAATTTCCTGTCATGGACTGCAGTACCTATTAGTAACTTCCAATAAAAATTATGAAACATAAATGAAACAAATCAGCAAAATACCGAATATAGTGACGTACCGTTATACGGGGCTATACGAAGACGTGGACCTGCATAGACAATTTTCTGTCGTAGATTCTAGTACTCATTATGAACCACCATTACGAAATTTCACACGATTCCGGTAAACAATGTCGATAAATCATCATCAAAATACCGAATATAGATAGGAACAGTTATATGGGGGATATACCTGAATACCAAAGTCCTGCAGACAAACACATATTTGTGTAAAATTTTATCAACCTACTTCAGTTCGTTCGGAAGCTAGAGTGATTTCCGCAGGGACTGGCATCGTTAAATCGACACAGAATTTTATGCTGATCAAGAATATATATATACTTTATGGGATCTAAAATGTATATTTCGAAGTGTTACAAACGAAATTACAAACTTAATATGGAGGTTATATCCTATGGCGGAGGGTATAAAAATTAGTATTGTGGTGAAAAGTTATAAAAATGGTTTGTTGTTCGTATGTTTCCTATATTCATACCTGACCTCGTACAATATGCCAAAACTAATAAAAATTAACATTCTCTTAAATCTCTCTTAACAATTTCTTACTCTCTCTTTTGATTTCCTTACAGCTGAAAACCCTACAAACTGCCCATGAACGTGAACTGGCAACATGTCACGAAACCGTGCGTCTATTACAGCAACGTCTCAACGAACGTGATGAGCAATTTGCCATGCAAAAACGTCGTAAAGTACCCGTTGACTATTATGCGCTCAAAGCCAAGGTATGTTGTACTACTAGCACTAACCCTACTGCAGTGTCTGCTACCAGAATAACTAACTTCAAAAGTGTTCCCCCAACTAACCTCATGTGTAGTTGTTGTTGTTCGCCAACACGCTTTTCAACAACAACAAGAGTTACTTCCCATACTCGTGTCAAGACAATGCAACAATCTCCGCAAGTATTTGAACGCAACTCCACAATGACCAGACCACCGGCCCTGTCATTACCATTACCATCACCGTGGCCTGCAAGTGTGAAAAACGTCGATAATTTGACCACTGACATTGTTGTTGTTGCTGGTCTCTTGTTGTTGTATAATGGCCGTTGTATTTTTGGCATCTTAACGAGCGGTGGCTTCTTTTATGCAACAATTGTAACAGTTTTTATGATTTTCATTTACAAATTAATTACTCGATTGCGTAATTTATTTTCATCGTCGTCGTTGTCGTGGTCGTTCAGACAGTCATCATTAAATTAAATTTACACTCTTTTCGACGATTTAATTTTGCTTTTGTCGTGTATTTATTTCATTCTTCAGAGACTATTGTCTGCATAGATTTGAAAACTTTGTACCCCCTTTCCCCCCTCCTCCATTTCATTTAACGACATGTATGTGAAATTTTTTCCAAAGTGAAATGAAATGATGACTTTTGTAATCACCACTTAAATATTTGATGAGATGATTACTTTGCTCTTTCTCATCTAAATTATATCACACACGACAAACAAAGTGATAGTTGTGACTTTTTTTTTCGGAATAACTTAATTTTTAGCTATTTTTTTAATTTGGCTATTTGGTAATTAGTTTATGTCTCAATAACTTCTTCTTGTTATGGCCATTGTTACCTGGGGATGGGAATTAATTGTGTAATGGGTTTTCAGTGGGAAAGAATTCCGTTAATTGACTACAATTATTGGTATTTTATCTTTGTGTTGTGAAATGATTATGGAATTGTCAAATATTGAGAGAAGATCAATTTATGTAAATTAATTAGCAAAAATAATATCAACAAGGGAAATATGTTGTGGAAACAGTTGCATTTTTGGCTCTGTAAACTCATGATAAAAGCCACAAGACCTCAAGATATAATATGTAAAAAATTTAGTACGATTTAGTACTTTTCGTACACTTATTGTATTTATTTCCAGAATGACCTCTTTGTATACTACATTTATACATTTCCCTTTTATGCATTACACTCAGTACATATTACCAAAACCACCTTACATCAACTCTATTTTCTAAACTTATTCCTACCAATTTTCCGTTCACATGATTCCAAATAGTACCAAATTTAGTACATTTTATTATTTTTGGTACATTTATTGTTCGAATTCCCAAAAACTCTTTGATTTGTGTATCCTACACAACATCAAAGACCCTCATTCTAAATTTCACATATTCCAGCTCTATTCCTTTCCCAAATACTTGGGTGGCGCGTGCTGAGTGCGATGGTACTGAGTCCTGTTGGAATCTCCAACGTCTGCGGCCAAAATGTTTGCGTGGCCAACGCTTTAATATACCCTCCAGAATATTTTCGCGATAATATTCGGCACGGCCGATTAATACGAGCGGAGAGCGACCATCGGCTGTTATGGCGGCCCACACCATCACCATGGCCGGCGCTTGAGTTCTAGTGGCCAACCGAAGGTGCACATTTTCAGCTGACCTCTTTGGCAAATAAACACGATCATTTTGTTTGTCTACAAACTGCTGGACAACGAATGTTTTCTCATCGGAGAAAACCAAATTCGACAGTGCACCACCTTCGGCCAAGCGAAGCAACTCTTTAGCTCTTTTGAGTCTATTTTTTTCTGCTGAGGTGTAAGTTCCTGCACGTTTTGGAATTTCAATGGCTTTACCCCGAGCTCATTTATCAATATTTACCGAATGGAATATGTTCAGCTCACGAGCCATTTTTCGGCAACTGCGACGCGGGACGCTTCTTTATTTTTCGAACCATTTATGCTGATGTTGCTGTTTTCTTCCGTCCACTTCCTTGACGTCGGGCTACGCTACCAGCATCACGGTAACGAGCGATGGTACGAGACACAAAAGATTTATTCACATTTAAATGCTGGAGTGCTCTGACGATAGCCACTTGTGGTTTTCCAGCCAAATATAAAGAAATCACACTATCACGCTTGAATTCCATCACGAATAACTTTTTTCTGGAAAATTCTCACCAAAATGCTTTTGTACGTTTGTAAACAATATAATGAGCTGTCACTGGAATAATTTTAACAGCTGTAGGATGAATGGCTTAGGAATGACAGCAGTCTGAAGTTGGTTGCAGTTTTTTCATCTCACCCTGTAAAAGATCTCAAGGTCTCCTATGGACATTAGAAGACCTCAAGGTCTTCCAATAGAAGACCTTGTCGTCGCCTATGAAGCCCTCAAGGTCTCCTAGGGACAATAAAATTCCTCAAGGTCTCCTATGAACAATAGAATAACTCAAGGTCTCCTATGGGCAATATAAGACCTCAAAGGCCCTATGGACAATAGAACCTTTAAAGCTCTCTTATGAACAATGAAAAGCCTCAAGGAGCCCACAATAGAAGACCTCAAAGTCTCTTATGGACTATAAAAGACCTCAAGATATCTTATGGACAAAAGAAGACCTTAAGGCCTCCTATGGACAATAGAACAATTAAAGGTCTCCTATTGACAATATAAGACATTAAAGTATCTTATGGACAATATCGACTTATGAACAGTAGAATACCTCAATGCTTCCTATGGACAATAGAAGACCCATAGGTCTCCTATTGACATTGGGAGACCTTAAGGTTTCCTATGGACAATTTAAGACCTCAAGACCCCTATGGACAATAGAAGTCTTCAAGGTCTCCTATGGATAATATAAATTCTCAAAGTCTTCTATGGATAATAGAAGTACTCAAGGTCTCCTATAGAACAATGGACGACCTCAAGGTCATCTAAGGACAATAGAGTTTCCTCCCTATCACACCAAGTATGCGAAGAGTGAGTTCCATGAGAAACTTCAAAGGTGTAGCATTTATCGATCAATGAAAACAAATTCCGCCTCATTTTCCCCCTCTAGAACAAAAGTGACCCCCATGTGTCCATGTTCAAGTCTCATCCTCCACCCAATAAAAAAGTAGTACCAATATGTACCTTTTTTGAAGGAACTTACATAAAAAAACAAGATCAAGAATGATCCTTATGCTAAATTTCAAATTTCTATCTCTTACCGACGATTCACAACAAGGTTGTGTCATTTTATACATTCTTGTACTTTTCCTACCCTAAAAGTACGAGTTTCATACTCATTTACGTCGATAGGGAGACTCGTGCAAAATTCTAGCCTCATAGATTCGTTTAGCCGTTAAATAATAAATATAATTTATTTATAACTAATAATTATTTATAATAAATATATCGTATTTTTAGTACTAACTTTCTAACACCTTTAATACTAACAACAAAATTACTAAACCTCTGTATTTGTTTATTTTTTCATGCTACCACAAAACAAGGTTTCATCGCTAGAGAGACGCCATACAGAACGTGAGGAACGTCTGCATATGCTAGTGGAGGCTCTCAGCAAAGGACGTTTGAACGGTGCTTTAGACGATCTACTGACCGACAACAATAATCAATGAAAAATAAGCTAAATGCAAGCAATCCCTGCTAATTGCACAAAACAATTTAAAGAATTTACCAACAAAAAAAAAAAAACAACAAAAACAACAAACAAATATTTAAAATTATACATTTTTTTATTCTTAAGATATTTAGAGAAAATGTTTTTGGTACTAAGCAGAAGAGTAGTTTGAATTAGTAGTGATTTTTCTTGAGATCAAGTTTGTATTGATTACAAAAAAAGATCTCAACTCGCAGCAATTTTAAGGAATTTTGATTTTTTTGTTAACACATTATTGTCATTGTCAGTTGATTATTTTTTTTTTTATACGGAACCAAGCAAAGAATTATAAAATGAAAAATACAAAACAACTTTGCAAAATGTTATAAAAATTAAAAATAAAAAATGGACTGAATTTTAAGATTAAATACCACACAGATCATTCTCATTGATGTTATAAATTAATGACATATTCTTTGTTTATTAATTTTAACGGTGATATTTTGAAGAATTTTTTTTTTAAATTTAATTTGTAATTTTTTTAAAAATTAAGAGTCATGTTTAAGCAAAGAACAACTGAGACTTCCTTAGTCAGAGAGGAACACAACAAAGCCAAAATCGATTTGGTGGAATATTTAAAGAGAATATCCCCAAATTTGATATTCAAAAAATAACGCAACCGTTCATTTTCCTTCCAAAGGAGTTTTCACATACAAACATACATAGCAATTATACGTACATACATAAATATAATAAATAACATAAGTGGTTTTTAATGAATCTTAATAATAGTAATAGTAATAATAATAATACAACTACAACTAATTACCAATTAATGTTATTGAGTTCAGTATTATGTCGTCTGTAGCTTATTGACTAATCTTTAAAACAAATTCAAATGTCTTTACTATTTACTAATAATTATGTATGGAAATAGTTGATAGACTTTAAACAAATGTTCATTACTGATTTATTTGTATTTCTAGTTGGGATTTTTTATATTAGATATAACTACATAACTATATGTAAAAGGTGGCGATATTAAAGAACAGTGCAATTCAATAAATATTATATACCAACCCAATGTATACCTAGAGATATTTTTGTTTAAATTATATCATTTTTGAAATACCAATTTTGAAACAATTACGTCGAAATATGTGGCATAATGCCATGTTTACGTTAGAACTTTTTGTAGGGTTAACCTACTTTGAGAGGATTTATTTGAAGTAAAAGTAATGGAAATGACAATTTAAATCCAAATCCAGTGGGTTAACCCTCATATATATAAACGTACTGTAAATCATCAACATTTCGAACATCGTTAGGTACAGATAGGTCTGTAGATATACATTTTTGTATAACACAAACACAACATTAAAATAAATGCCCTTGAACAATGTCGCTAAAATAATGGAAATTCGGAATATAGGGTGGTACCATCGTATGGGGTCTAGACGAAGCCGTGTACCTGTACAAATTATTTTCTGTATGGAAGCAGTACCCATAGCGAAACCCAAATTCTAAATTTGATATAATTCCTGTGAAAACGGCGGGGAAAATGCCGAATAGTGGAAGGTATAGTTATATGGGGCCTATACGAAGATGTGAAGACAATTTCCTGTCATAGGGTTAGTACCTATCACGAACTCCAAGTAGCAAATATTTTAATAATTAATTCCGGTGAAAAATTTGGCTAAAATTTTAAAAATACCAAATCTGGAAGAGCAGTTGCATGGGCACTATACCAAAACTACAAAACTTGGACTCATATCGTAAGGGACTATATCAAAATATGAAACTACGTAACCGATTCTTTATACCAAAAATTCTACAGACCTAATATGCACCCCAGCAAAATTTTATCAATCTACTTATTTTCGTTCGGAAGTAGTACCCATTGCGAATAGGAAGTAGGACTCATTGCGAAGTCCAGTTTCTAAATTTTAAATAATTCCGGTGAAAATGTCGCGAAAATACCGAAAGTCGGGAGGTACAGTTATATGCGGTCTTGATGAAGACAGGACATTTTCTGTCATAGCAGATAGTGCCCCGAACTTCAGGTACCAAATTTTTAATAATTAATTGCGAAATGTGGATACAATCAGTAAAATACCTAATCTGAAGGAACAGTTGCATGGGGACTATACCAAAACTTCAAAACTGGAAATGGAAATTAAATTTTATTTCCACTGAGGGACAGACAGACAGACAGACGGACGGATATGGAGAATATATATTCTTTGTGGGGTTTAAAATGCTTATTTTTCAGAGTTACAAACGGAATGAAAAAGTTGAACTATGATGGAGGGTATAAAAAGTTCAATTATAGGAAATAGTGCCTAAACTCTTTACTGCTACTATGCTTCCTATTTTAATAGAATTCAAAATGTTAGAATTCTAGTTTTTACCATGTATAGTTCTATAGTCCCTTTTGGTGATCTTCATAGTATCACATTATGAGTCGATTTATATTTATTTTTGTAAACAAAGTACAAGTCGCATTTATTGTCCAATTGAGATGACATTTTCTACAATTTATTTGATTCGCCCAAGGACGAAGGAATCGATGTAAATTTAGATATATCCCCCATATATATATATATATTCGTCCGATTTGAATTGTATTGTGTGATATATGCATAATGTTTGTTCAAAAACGACCTAGACGTAGGTACTTCAAAATGATAAAAATCAGTTCAGATATAGCTCCATGATTCCCATATGTTTCATCCGACTTGTTTAAGTCCCTCAAATTCATAATACAACAACGATAATTCGTTGTTTTTCTCAAATTTTATCAAGATTGGTTCAGACTTGGATATAGCTCCCATATATATCGTCCGATTTCAAGGTTATTGTGCACCAAATTTTTAATATCAACCCAAACTGAACGGATTTTTGCACACTCCATCATATTTATCCTGAACGCAAATTCGACATTTAATGAAACTCGATTCCCATATATCTATTACTCCTACATATTTTTGAATATAATCCTTCTCGAAATCATATCATACACTCTATAGCTATGTTATTTGGTACGAGAGGTACAACTACCTGGAAAAATCGATTCAGAGTTGGATAAACCTCCTTTGTAGAATCCAATTCAACCACAAACAGTTTCAATCACTTTTTTGAAGACCATATTTTTATATACCTATCCATTTGTCACCTCCAGAATTATCATTGTGGAATTCTAGCTATATTCCTTCATATTTCGGTATAATTGTGCCCTCATCTTTGATACGACTACAATGTACCGCATTTTACACCACTCTTTGGATAAAACTCATTTGGAGTCCATCCGCCTGTCTGGCCGACTGGTGTTAACGATTATCCTCGAAGAGATTATGCGGTTTGGTCTAAATTTTGTACATTCCTATATGGGGTACATCGGCCACTTCCAAAAACCAAAAAAACAAAAAAATTAAAATCAATATTAATTTTCAAATAAAGCATCGAATTATATCGGACTTGGTCAGGTGCGAAAATCGGCAACATCCACCACAAATAGTCAACATTTTGAATTTATCTAGCATTTATTGAATGCGAATTCTAGCAGCACTAAACCTACAACACCTCTACAGAAAGTTAAATTCTAGTACCTCCCCGACAAACGATCTAAAATTAAAAAAAAATGTAATTTAAGTTATAACGGTATATATCTGTCGACCACCTGAATTCTAGAATTAACGGTACAACATTAGTAACAAAGTGTCTTCCCTCGTTTCCTCTACATAAAGAGAGAATTCCATGCAAAACTTCAAACGTCTAGATCTTTCCTATCGCTCAATAATAATGCATCCTTCGAACCTTTAAAATACAAATTTCTCAAATCGCATATTAACCTTTGTACCTTTGTACTTAGTTCGAATTCCCAAAATGTTGGCATATTTCACTCCCAATTCTAACGAATTTTGGTATATCCTTGCTTTTTTACCCTTCTCCACGGATAGGGACCCTCGCATAATATTTCAAAGTTCTAACTCTTATTTGTCACTCAATAACGATACCAAACTATGTTGTACTTTTCAGTGCCCTTAAAGTACGAATTTCGAAAAACCCAAAAATTTATTTAATTTTTCCACAGTTTCTGTCATTGAAATGTTCTGTTCTTTAATTAGAATCGCTATAACGGTGATCCCCATATTATTAAATTCCAATTGTATTTGTTGTTTTTTTTTATTATTATTTAATATAAAATGTCTAAATTGTTTAAAATACTCTAGTGTTAATTTCGATAAAAGAAATTCCAATGTGGTGGCGTTAATTAATTATTGGCATAAATGACAAACACCTTAACCCTAACATACAAAATTAGATGCAAATTAAAATATAAGTTTTCTAATCTGATATCAATAATCATATAAAAAAATTGTTTGAATTTTCCGTTTACTGTTACCTCTACATTTAATATCCGAAAGAAAAAAAAAACAAAACAAAAACTTGAAGAAAATTTAATCTCAATTGTAAAAGACAACTGTCGTCTATTATTATGAAATTCATTTATACAGTATTGATATGATGGCGAATCAAATTTGTAGATTTTAAATGGTATACATACTTAGCATTATTCATTTTTTTATTATTAAAAATAATCAGTGATTTGGTACAATTAATAGTAATACGTATGGTGTGGAATTAATTGAAATGTAATGGAAATAATAATTTAAATTAAATTAACAATAAATTATGAATGAGACTTTTTGAAAGTTAAAAATAGTTTGAAGTTTTTTTTTATCGATTAGAAGCTTTTTTATTGATTTTAAGTTTTTTTTAGTGTTTGTTTGGAAGGTGACACACATCGAAAGATATTCCACTTGCAACTCACTGTAGAAATAATGTTATACAAGAGTAGTGTAAGGACTGACTGATTGACCTAGAATCAAAACCAAGACGAAACAGCTGAAGCTTGCAACTTTACACGAGGCTCAATCTTGGTGCGCAGGCGTGCGATAAGGCTGGGTTTTTTAGAACTCGTACTAAAAAGATACAAAAAATAATATTTGCGCTTGAAATCTGAAATTTGGTATAAGCAACCCTAATACATGTATAGAATGAACATATGGAAGTGGTTTCGGAAATGTACCATGGTACAATAAAATCAAGGTAGGGCTATGATACCATATGATTTAATTTTTTTTATTTTCTTGGCTTAATATGTCATCTTTATTTGTTTATGTATGTGTTTTCTTTTCAATAACAAAAAAATTGTTTAGAAAATATTCAAATTCGAGTGTTTTCAAAATGTTAATTTCATTGTATGCATCGACAAAATCTAGAGTTTTTGTAGCGAAATAATCCTTTAGAGATATATAGAACATGGTTTCGAAAAGAAGTCTTGACCTTTCATTCAGTTATCGCGGTTTTCAATTATTTATTCAAATTAAATGCAACAAGTTGCTTGATTTTTTATTGTTTTGATACTAATTCTGACATTACAAGCCAAACAGGTGGACCTCTATACTTGCAATTTTTTCAAAGTTGGCCTACCTTCTCTTCATTGTACCATGCTTGGTACTTTGTGACGGTATGGAGATAAATTTAAAAAATGTGATGTCTACATGATGGTTTGGTTTGAGATTTGGCGGAGGTTTGGAAATGTGTGGTATATTTGTACAAAAGCACTAAATGGTACTAAATTTGGTATTGGGTATAGAGCTGGAAACCTCAAATTTGATATTGAGGTTTTTGGAATTGAGATATGGTGGTGGTTTTGGGAATGTGTACTATAATTGTACGAAAAGTACAAAATGGTACTAAATTTAATATAGGCTGAAAGAATTGAGCTAAAATCATTAAATTCGATATAGATGTCACTGTTTGTGTCTCTGGAGGTGTTATTGGAAATGTGTTATATAATTGTTTGAAAAGTACTAGGTGGTACTAAATTGGTTATTGGGTATAGGAATAGAGCTGGAATCCCGAAATTCGATATTGGGGTTTATGTTGGTTTCTTGGAAGATGTTGAAATAATTGTGGGCAGAAAATTTGATGTGGCTCCATTATGTATGGGTTTTACTAATATCCTCCTCGAAAAACTTCAAAATTAAAGATTTTGAAGACATTTTGGTTGAAAATGTAAATATTTTCCTATTAATCATTCCGAAACTGGCAAAAGTTGAATTTTAATACCCTCCACGATTTGGAAGGAACTTGAACGATTTCAACAAATTCCGAAAAATACCGTTTCAATGATAAATTTTATACTGGGGCTATACGAAGACGCGGACCTATATAAGTAATTTTTTGTCATAGGTTCTAATATCCATTAAGATCTTCCTTTACAGGGAGGAACTTACCCTATCTATGTGGTTGCTTTGCAATGCAAATTTCCAAGATGCTGATACCTGAGTCTTCTTTTTTTAGCTCTACTTTTAAAATCTGCTAGATTGAAAACAAGTAAAAAAGCTGCTTTTATATCCTTCATTATTTGGAAGAAACTTGAAAATATTTCAAAAAAAAAATGTCGTCGGAAAATACCGCTCAAATGAAAACCGTTATATGAGGGCTATACGAAGACGTGGTCCTGCATAAGTAATTTGTGTCATAGGCTGTAGTTAATGTTCCGAAGTTTATATACGAAATTTGAAACAATTCCGGTGAATAATGTCGCAAAAATCGTCAAAACACCGAATATCGGGAGAAACCGTTATATCGTGGACCTATATAGAAAATTCTCATCCAGGGGGCAATGTACTCACAAGGAACTCCTTTTGTTGAAAAATGTGGCTATAATCATCAAAATACCAAATATCGGGGGCACCTTTATATGGGGCTATACGATACCGTAGACCTATATAGACAATTCTCTTCTAGGGGATAAAGTACTCACAAGGAACTCCTTGTGTGAATTTTCAGACAACTCCTTTGAAAAATGTGGCTAAAATCGTAAAAATACCGAATATCGGGGGTACCGTTATATGAGGGCTATACGACATCGTGAATGGATATAAATAATTCTCTTCCTGGGGATAAAGTACTTAAAAGGAACTCCTTTCATACAATTCCATTGAATAATGTGGCTAAAATCATCAAAATGCCGAATATCGGGAGGTGCCGTTATACTATGATATCGTGGACCTATATAGACAATTCTCTTTCAGGGGATAAAGTACTCATAAAGAACTCCTTGTGTAGAATTGCAGACAATTCCATTGAAAAATGTGGCCGAAATTCATAAAAATACCGAAAATTGGGGGGGGGGGTCCATCGATATCGTGGACCGATATAGCCCATCTTCGAACTTGACCTACCTGCAGACAAAAGACAGATCTATTCTAAGTTTTAGCTTCCTATCTTAATTCGTTTTGACTGTAGTGTGATTACAATAGACGAACATGGCTAAATCGTCTTAGAATTTTACGCTGATCAAGAATATATATATTTTGTTGGCTCTAAAAGTATTATTTCAATGAGTTACAAACGGAATGACGAACTTAATATACCCTCCATACTATGTATGGTGGAGTGTATAAAAATTGAATTTTGTCGCACAGTGTTATTTTTTGGCTTAGTTATGAAACGAAACGCAATTCTAAGGACTTCATGAAAAGAAATCATGGATTAAATAAGGAATAGACTAATTTTCTCGGCTAAAAATCGAAATTAAAATTAAATGTTTTTAGCGACTTCTTGAAAAAATGAAATTTTAAAATATTCACTGATTTCTCATCATATTCGGTTAGTGTACATATGCTTAAAGTATACATCGCCTACCATTATCCAAGTGAAATAAAAATACATAGTTAATATTGCATACATTTCAATTAATATTCTTTATTTATTTATTTATTCCGTTGAGATAATTCGAATCCCAAACAACAGCAACATGACACATAAATACAATTATTTAATTTTTCATTTTTTGTTGAATTTATATACTTTTTAGGTATTGATAACATATATAATGTAACTGAAACTAGGATACCGACTCTCGATGGTCGGATGTTTCTGTCCGATTTTGAGAACAATAAATTTCACTACACACTGTAATTTCGATATTTGATTGCATATAACAAACGAGTATACATAATATATATTTATATTTTTTGTTTATTGGTTATAATATATTTGATATTTGATAAAAATATATTAATATTTTGTAATCATACTGAATTTATAATTTCGATATTTCAATAACTTGATATAATTTCTTCTTTAAAATGATAATAATTTATTTAATTTAGAGTTTTAAAACATAGCATTATTGTGATTCACATTTCATTCTAGTAGGGTAGCCAAGATTTACATTCTTTTTTTAGTTATATTTCTTTTATTTGCTAAAATAAAACCAAATTCATAATTGTTGCATAGTATTGTTAAAATATTGGGTTTGATTATTTTTTAAATTTTTTTATATTAGTTTTTTAAGATATTATTTGGATGGATTCTTTACTGATTACAGGCTTAAAAACCAAGAATTAAAAAAACAAATACAGCCAAACGAAACGAAAAAGGTTTTTCCCAGACCAACATGGCGGGTTTACAAAATCTGCAAGGAGAAAATATAGAAAATGTATATTTTTAATATTGGGTTCTAGTTTTTTAAATATTTTTATTTTGTATTTTATTTTAACTATTCATAAGTATATATACGCGCGATTCAATTAGGTTGACTGTATGTGAAAGATACAACTCTTAAGTAAGATTTCAAATTTAATAATAGCAAGTGCAATCAGTTGCATTGTTTATTTAACATTTATCTTACAATATTTTAATTTAAGAGAAAATCGCGAGCATTGAGCGAACGTCCCGAATTATTAACAATATCGAGCTCCTAAACGTTCCTTTTTTTTATTCCAAGACGTAAAAAAATGTTTCTCCAAAAAGGCTGTAAATATCATGGTACATTGAAAATGTACAACAAGTTCGTAAAACTACAGAAATACAACCCCGAGACTATACCCCCATCTTGTCAGAATTATTCGATTTTAAATGCAGAGTTTTTCTCAATTATTTGATATTTTTCTCTTTTTTTTAATTGTTGATGGATTAAAAATCACAAAAGAAAAAAATTTATCTAAACTATTCAATTTTTAAATTTCGTGGCAAAACGAATCGACATATGAACCTTAGATTGTGTTCATAAGGCCACCTTTTTTGTATAGCCGCCATATGATGGTGCCCTCTGCTAAGTTTGTTAGCGTTTGTTTCAAAATTTCCGAAAAATGTGTCGTTTTCGTGGGATGTAGAAAAAATTCTTTCCAAAAATTAATGACATTGTTTCAACCTGGTATTGGCGCCATGAAAAAGAACTTACCAATTTTTTTAAGTTTTTTCTTTTTTCGGAAAGAATAATAGGAAAATGTCTCCAAAATCTTTGATTTTTAAGTTTACCGAGGAGGATATTAGTAAAGATATTGCAAAATAAACCTAATTTCAATTTTTTTTTGTCCAATACTATTTCAACGTCTACATATGTGGACCCTAGAAACCAACAGTGACCTCAATTTCAGGATTTTATTTCGTAATTTCCTCCCCATTACCAAATTTAGTAACATTTAGTAGGGATATCCAAAACAATCTACATCTCTCCTAGACCTAGACTCCAACAGTGATGAAAAATTAGTACCAATTAATACATTTCCAATAATTGTAGTACGCATTTGCAATACCACCTTCACATCTCAATTACAGATACCAACAGAAACCTCAATATAAAATGTTAGAATTCCTGCTCTTTACTTTAGACAACCACAGTAACCTCGAAGCAACATTTGAGAGTAGGTTTTTGAATTTTTCGCACGTTTACAGTACACATTCCCAAACCACCGCCTTCTCTCAACCACAGACACCAACAGTGACATCTATATCGGAATTACTTCACCAAATATCAAATTTAGTACTATTTAGTACAATTATAGTACACATTTCCTAAACTGCCTCTATACTTCAAACCCAGATACCAACTAGAGGCCTCAATATCAAATTTAAGGATTCAAGCCCAACCCCTTCACCCAATACCAACCCCTTCACCCAATCCTTCAAACAAAATTAAATTTAGTATCATTTAGTACTATTCGTACATATTTAGGACGTATTAAATAACAAATTTCAGAATTTCCCTTCACCCAAAACCAAATATAGTACCATTCAGTACTTTTCGTACAATTACAGTACACATATTCGAAACCACCTCCACATGTCGGGACTACAGATGAACCACAACCCTAATACTAATTTTCAGATTTAAAGCCCTATTTCTTCAACCAATACCAAATTGTACAAAATATAGTACTATTTAGACATTTTCGTGCACATGTAGTATATATTTCCAAAACCATCTCTTAATGGAAAACCTATCACCAACAAGAACTCCAATATGACATTTTAAAATTCCAAGTTCATCCGTTCAACCTAAACTAAACTGTTCCAAATTTAGTAAAATACAGTTCGCGGTTTTACCATATAATTAACATTTCCGAAACCATCTCCATATGTCCAGGCTACACATGAACAGCGAACCTAATACCGAATTTCAGATTTCAAGCATTATATGTTCACATAATACCAAATGATACCACTTTAGAATTTTAGCAACATTTTAGAACTTTTCGTAACCTTAAACTGAAATTTCCAAAAACCCTTTCACCATTCTTTTATAAAAAGATACGTCAAATTCGGACGAAAACTTTTCATAATTGTCTCCCATATAGTCGTATGGCTCTATTTTAGGTATTTTGAAGGTTGTATCCACATTTTCCATGCGAGCTTATTAGGTGGTGGTATTTGCAGTTTCCATTGACTATGTCAGCTCCATACACAAACATTTAGAAATTGGTCCACCTTGAAATACAGCCCTCATATAAATGTACCGCCCGATATGTACTTTAATTTTGGCATTTTCCATTCTAGAAAGTTAGAAAAACTACCCGAAATTCGGCATTCTTGAAATGTTTTAATGATTTGTAGGTCAAAATTTACAATTTAGACACACTTTTCGGTATATGTAACACTTCTACAAGTTATTCGGTATTTTGAAAATTTTAGTCGAATTGAAAGGCCGAAGTTCCTCTAATTTGGAATTTTTTATATTTACGGAGTAGGAAATCTCTATCATCCTGACATTTACAACATTGAATGGGACTCATTCAAACAGAGAATCTTGAATCAATTATTTTTATAGGATTTATTTCCACTTTTTCTTGTTAAATATTCAACCCTAAATAACTATATTTTTACTTACCTTTAATGGACTACATCCCAAATTCGTTTTGCAACACCGTTACGTGTCAATGTTTCAAAAACTCCAACAACCAAAAAACTGTCAACGTAGCTTCAACAAGTTAACACCAAAAAATCGGACATAAGTCCTTTCACACCAAAGCTTGTGGTTAAACTGTTAACGATTTGCCGCTTAACATTTGTATTTATACCCCAAAGGATTGGTTACGCCTCACTGGCTTTATTTGTCCTATCTTCTTTAGCACAACTGGTGTGTTGCGCGTTGTGTCGACAGAAGGATGTACTTTAAACAATTTGTATTTAACGCTTAAATGACTTCCTTGCTTGATATTCCATTCTGGGGCTATGGAGGAAGTTATAACGGAAAAGCTATGAAACACCAAAACCCATTATTATACTTATATGAAATAGACTAGTATTGTGTCAAAGGAATTCCTGCTTATCACAAATGTGCACACATTCCTTTGGACTCCTTTTAAAATAAGCAGCCGAGAAAAGCAACCGCTGATAGGTTTTTTCCATTTTTCTGATTGGATGTCATCCAAGTATCGCCCACAGAGTATCTATTACTTCCCAGCTAATGTTATTTATCATCCGCAGCCAACTGCATTGTTTTCAATTATTTTCCAATTTCGATTAAATTTCTAATCAACAAATGGTGTTCGAATCCTTATTTGATCGGTTTATGCGGTTTAATTTAATAAAATTCAGTTGCTGAACCATGAAATTTATAAAATGATTTTTCAAAACTATAAACAAGGAACAATTGACGTCATTCACATTGTAGAGTGTACAGTCTTAAATTTTCTGTGATTGAGATTATGTTCTAGAATTGCAAGAATGTGAAACTTTTTATTTTCCCACATTACATCGGAAAAAAAATTGTAAAAACAGTATATTCTAGCAGGTTCTGCAACTGAGCACAAATGTATTTTTTTACTACAATGAGCGATTTTTTTATAATATTGCAAAACTAGTAGATTCCTGCAGGTTGGAACGGAACATTATTGGTCTGCTCCAGAACTGCAAGAATGTAAAAGTTTTCACTACGATAACCGGTATAGAGGAAAATTGCAAAACTAGCAGATTCTTGAAAGTAATGGAACAGAGCATTTTTATGCCCTCCACCTTGGAAAGGAGGGTATATTAACTTTGTCATTCCGTTTTAACATCCTTAAATATTTGCGAAGACCCCATAAAGGATATATATTCATAATTAGCATAAAATTCTAAGTCGATTTAACGATGTCCGTCTGTCTGTCTTTCTGTCCGTCTGTCTGATGAAATCACGATACAGCCCACATTATTTGACGTAGAGCGCCAAAATTTAGCAGAGCAATTTGTATTGTGTCTAGGATGGTTGGTATTGAAAATGAGATATATCGGTCCACGTTTTTGTATAGTCCCCATATAACGGTACCTCCCGATATTCGGTATTTTGATGATTTTTGACACATTTTTTCACGAATTTCTCTGACAATTGGTAGTTGTAGGTCATAATGGGTCCTAGTTCGTGTGGCGAATTATTGTAATTATAGGTCCACGTTTTGGTATAGTCCCCATATAACGGTACCTCCCGATATTCGGCATTTTAATGGTTTTTGCAACATTTCTTTCCGGATTTGTCTAGAAATTGGTATTCGTTGTTCTTAATGGGCGAAATACTGTATGCATAGGTCCACGTTTTTGTATAGCCCCATATAGCCGTAGTTCCCGATATTCGGTATTTTGATGATTTTTGGCACATTTTCCCATGAATATGTCTAAAAATTGGTATATGTGCGTCATAATGTGCTCTAATATCTCCTTTACCCCAAGGTGGAGGGTATTAAAAGTTTGGCCCGGCTGAACTTAATGTTTTTTCGCTTGTTTTTTTTTTTTTTTTTTGGATTACGGTACAAATTGATCCTTCAAATCGAAATGTTTGGAAGCAATTACTCTGTAATTTGTAAAGGGTCCTTGGAAACTTATTTTGTATTTCATTTATTTTCACGGAAGCGGCGCCTTCATAATTTTTTTTACTTGATGTCTCAAATAAGAAATAATGCACAATAATTCAATTCTGTTCCAGAATGCGAGAATGTAAGCTTTTGCGATTATCGTCATTTTTTTAATTTTCTTTTTTTTTTTCAATTTTTTCACTTTGTTCGAAAATATTATCTCTTTTTCTCTGAAAATGTTCAAAAATTAAAAAAAAAAGTTAAAAAGTATCAGTCGGTTCAGGTTCGATTATTTATATATATTTTCACCTTGATGTACTAAATCTGAGTGGAATGGATGTGAATTTCTTGTTTTATGAGCTTCACTAATATTTAAATTTCTTACCCTTGTGGGGGAGGTACGAGAAGGAGTGGACCAATATATTCCATTTTTACACCAGACCTTGAGTTAGTAAAAATATTGTTATGAGGGTAGGTGTGTGATAAGACAGGGTTTTTGGAAATTCATATGAACAATTCATTCATTCAAAAAGGGTACGAAAAGTACTAAAATGTACTAAAAATTTTATAATTTTTATTGCACAAACGGAATGAGCTAGAATTCTGAAATTTTGAATGAAAATCATTGGTGGAGTGCAGAATAGATGTACCAAAGGGTTTTGGGAAATTCGAACTTTAAGGTTCTGCACTATTTGGTGCCAACTATAGCACTGTTTGGCTTAGGGAGATCGTATGAAGTTGTAATTTTGAAACGGTAACGGTACCTCCCGATATTCGGTATTTTGATGATTTTTGACACATTTTTTCACGAATTTCTCTGACAATTGGTAGTTGTAGGTCATAATGGGTCCTAGTTCGTGTGGCGAATTATTGTAATTATAGGTCCACGTTTTGGTATAGTCCCCATATAACGGTACCTCCCGATATTCGGCATTTTAATGGTTTTTGCAACATTTCTTTCCGGATTTGTCTAGAAATTGGTATTCGTTGTTCTTAATGGGCGAAATACTGTATGCATAGGTCCACGTTTTTGTATAGCCCCATATAGCCGTAGTTCCCGATATTCGGTATTTTGATGATTTTTGGCACATTTTCCCATGAATATGTCTAAAAATTGGTATATGTGCGTCATAATGGGCTCTAATATCTCCTTTACCCCAAGGTGGAGGGTATTAAAAGTTTGGCCCGGCTGAACTTAATGTTTTTTCGCTTGTTTTTTTTTTTTTTTTTTTTTTTTGGATTACGGTACAAATTGATCCTTCAAATCGAAATGTTTGGAAGCAATTACTCTGTAATTTGTAAAGGGTCCTTGGAAACTTATTTTGTATTTCATTTATTTTCACGGAAGCGGCGCCATCATAATTTTTTTTACTTGATGTCTCAAATAAGAAATAATGCACAATAATTCAATTCTGTTCCAGAATGCGAGAATGTAAGCTTTTGCGATTATCGTCATTTTTTTAATTTTCTTTTTTTTTTCAATTTTTTCACTTTGTTCGAAAATATTATCTCTTTTTCTCTGAAAATGTTCAAAAATTAAAAAAAAAAAGTTAAAAAGTATCAGTCGGTTCAGGTTCGATTATTTATATATATTTTCACCTTGATGTACTAAATCTGAGTGGAATGGATGTGAATTTCTTGTTTTATGAGCTTCACTAATATTTAAATTTCTTACCCTTGTGGGGGAGGTACGAGAAGGAGTGGACCAATATATTCCATTTTTACACCAGACCTTGAGTTAGTAAAAATATTGTTATGAGGGTAGGTGTGTGATAAGACAGGGTTTTTGGAAATTCATATGAACAATTCATTCATTCAAAAAGGGTACGAAAAGTACTAAAATGTACTAAAAATTTTATAATTTTTATTGCACAAACGGAATGAGCTAGAATTCTGAAATTTTGAATGAAAATCATTGGTGGAGTGCAGAATAGATGTACCAAAGGGTTTTGGGAAATTCGAACTTTAAGGTTCTGCACTATTTGGTGCCAACTATAGCACTGTTTGGCTTAGGGAGATCGTATGAAGTTGTAATTTTGAAACGGTAACGGTACCTCCCGATATTCGGTATTTTGATGATTTTTGACACATTTTTTCACGAATTTCTCTGACAATTGGTAGTTGTAGGTCATAATGGGTCCTAGTTCGTGTGGCGAATTATTGTAATTATAGGTCCACGTTTTGGTATAGTCCCCATATAACGGTACCTCCCGATATTCGGCATTTTAATGGTTTTTGCAACATTTCTTTCCGGATTTGTCTAGAAATTGGTATTCGTTGTTCTTAATGGGCGAAATACTGTATGCATAGGTCCACGTTTTTGTATAGCCCCATATAGCCGTAGTTCCCGATATTCGGTATTTTGATGATTTTTGGCACATTTTCCCATGAATATGTCTAAAAATTGGTATATGTGCGTCATAATGGGCTCTAATATCTCCTTTACCCCAAGGTGGAGGGTATTAAAAGTTTGGCCCGGCTGAACTTAATGTTTTTTCGCTTGTTTTTTTTTTTTTTTTTTTTTTGGATTACGGTACAAATTGATCCTTCAAATCGAAATGTTTGGAAGCAATTACTCTGTAATTTGTAAAGGGTCCTTGGAAACTTATTTTGTATTTCATTTATTTTCACGGAAGCGGCGCCATCATAATTTTTTTTACTTGATGTCTCAAATAAGAAATAATGCACAATAATTCAATTCTGTTCCAGAATGCGAGAATGTAAGCTTTTGCGATTATCGTCATTTTTTTAATTTTCTTTTTTTTTTCAATTTTTTCACTTTGTTCGAAAATATTATCTCTTTTTCTCTGAAAATGTTCAAAAATTAAAAAAAAAAAGTTAAAAAGTATCAGTCGGTTCAGGTTCGATTATTTATATATATTTTCACCTTGATGTACTAAATCTGAGTGGAATGGATGTGAATTTCTTGTTTTATGAGCTTCACTAATATTTAAATTTCTTACCCTTGTGGGGGAGGTACGAGAAGGAGTGGACCAATATATTCCATTTTTACACCAGACCTTGAGTTAGTAAAAATATTGTTATGAGGGTAGGTGTGTGATAAGACAGGGTTTTTGGAAATTCATATGAACAATTCATTCATTCAAAAAGGGTACGAAAAGTACTAAAATGTACTAAAAATTTTATAATTTTTATTGCACAAACGGAATGAGCTAGAATTCTGAAATTTTGAATGAAAATCATTGGTGGAGTGCAGAATAGATGTACCAAAGGGTTTTGGGAAATTCGAACTTTAAGGTTCTGCACTATTTGGTGCCAACTATAGCACTGTTTGGCTTAGGGAGATCGTATGAAGTTGTAATTTTGAAAATTTGTATTGGCGCCCTTCCATATATATTGTTCAGGCGATTTATTATTTTTGTCTTCCGCAGCCGTTAAATGCACTCTGTAACAACAATATTTGGGGAAATATATCAAATACAGCTTAGAAATACATTTGCTAAATTTTGTCGAGATCGGTTCAGATTTGGATATAGCTTCCATATATAACCTCGACCGATTTACCTTTTATTGTGCACCAAACGTATAATATTTGCCCGAATGGGATGGAATTTGGCACATACGACCGAATTAAGTCTAGAAGGCAGTATGCAAAATTTGGTGAAGATCAGTTCAGATATAGCCATAGCTACAATATATATTGTGCATCCGATTTGTTGTATTTGTTACCCACAGCCGTAATATGCACTCCGTAACAACAATATTCAGGGAAATATATCAAATACAGCTCAGAAATATCTTTGCCAAATTTTATCGAGATCGGTTCAGATTTGGATATAGCTCCCACATATATATCTTTATATGATTTCAAATTAATTTTGCACCAAATGGGCAATACAAGTCCGAATTTAAAAGATACAAATGCTTCGGCATATTTAGTCCTTTCAACTGTAAATTAGAATTATAATCATAGCGTGTATGATTGAATTCTCCCACAAAAATTTTTAATTGTTATGTGGAGCTCTACTAAATTAGCAAAGTGGTATAGGGTATCATACAGTCGCTGTTTTTTCAATTTTTTCACTTTGTTCGGAAATATTCTCTCTTCTTCTCTGAAAATGTTCAAAAATTAAAAAAAAAAAACAAGTTAAAAAGTATACGTCGGTTTGGTCGACAGATGTATACTCTCAGCCAAGGTTCGATTATTTAAATATATTTTGATCTTGATGTACCAAATCTCGTTTTATAAGCTTCACTAATATTCAAATTTCTGACCCTTGTGGGGGATGTACCAGAAGGATGGGACCAATATATTACACTTTTACATCAGACTTTGGGTTAGTAAAAATATTGTGATGTGTGTAGGTATGTGACAAGACAGGGTTTTTGAAAATTCGTGTAAACAATTCATTCATACAAAAAAGGTACGAAACGTACTCAAATGTACTAAAAATGTTATAATTATTATTGAACAAACGGAATGAGCTAGAATTCTGAAATTTTGAATGAAAATCATTGGTGGAGCGCAGAATAGATATACCAAAAGGTTTTGGGAAATTCGAACTTTAAGGTTCTGCACTATTTGGTGCCAACTATAGAACTGTTTGGCTTAGGGAGATCGTATGAAGTTGTAATTTTGAAAATTTGTATTGGCGCCCTTTTGGTGGTAGGTTTGTGATAAAGTGGTGATTTTGGAAATGTGTGGTAAAAGTGCACGAACAGTACTAAATAGTACTACATTTGATACATGGGACTATTGGGTGAAGAGATAGTGCTTGAAATCTGAAATTTGGTATTAAGGTCGCTGTTCATGTGTAGCCTGGACATATGGAGTTTTGTTTCGGAAATGTGTACTATAATTGTACGAAAAGTACCGAATGGTACTATATTTGGTATTGGGTGAAGAAATAGACCTGAAATTCTCGAATTTGAATTGAGATCTCTGTTGGTATCTGAGGTTGAGATGGTTTTGGAAATATGTACTATAATTATACGAGATGTACAAAATGGTACTATATTTGGTATTGGGCGAGAGAAAAGAGCTAAAATCCTGAAATTGATTATTAAGATGTCTACTGGTATATAAGGTGGAAACATGGAGGTTGTTTAAAAAAAAGCGTACTATAAAGTACTAAATGGTACTAAATTTGATATTGGCTGGGTTAGAATCCTCAAATTTGATATTTTGAGGTTTCCGTTGGTATCTGAAATTTGGATATGGAGTTGGTTTTGACAATGTCTCTTATAATTGTACGAAAAATACTAAATAACAAATTATTTGGTATTGTGGTAAGGAATAGATCGAAATTTTATATTAAAATCACTGTTGGTAGACATGTCACTGAGGTTGAGATATGAAGGTGGTTTTGAAAATGCGTTCTATGTTTGTAAGAAAGGTACTAAATTTGGCGAATGAATAGGGATGGTAACCTCAAATTAGGTATTGAGGTCTCTGTTGGTATCTGCAATTGAGATATGGAGGTGGTTTTGAAAATGTGTACTGTAATTGTTCGAAAAATACTAAATGCTACTACATTTGCTATTAAGTGAAGGAATAGAGCTGAAATCGTGAAATTTGAGATTAAGGTTACTGTTGATGTCTACAATTAAGATATGGAAGGAATATGTTACTAAATTGTGTATTAAGTGAAGGGATAGAGCTGAAATCCCGAAATTTTATATAGAGGCCTCTGTTGGTATCTGGTGCTGGTTTTGCAAATGTGTACCATAATTGTTCCAAAGGTACTAAACGTTACTTTTTGAGTCACTGTTGGATTGTAGAATAAAGAGACGTTAATCATTTTGGATATGCGTACTAAATGTTACCAAATTTGGTATTGGTTGAAGGGATAGATCTGAAATTCTTAAATTTGATATTGAGGCCACTATTTGTTTCTAGGGTGTATATATGGAAACGTTGAAACAGTTTTGAACAGAAAAATTCGATGTGGATCCATTGTGCAATGATCTTACTAATATCCTTCCTGCTCGATAAACTTCAAAATTAAAGATTTTGAAGAATTTTTGATGTTTTCCTATAATTATATCCGAAAGAGGAAAAACTCGAATAATATATAAAATCTTGAAAGTCTGGAAATTTGGTACGATGTATGTAGTTTGGATTGAAAAATGTTTGTAAAACTGAACCAATTGTACATTTGGAGTACTAACAAGCTAAAAAGCAGTAAGTTCGCCCAGGCCGAACTTTGAATACCCTCCACCATTTGGAATGAATTTGGAAATTTTCAAAAAAATAAAATCCTTAAAAAATTCTGCAAAAATTTTAAGAATACCGAATATAGCCCTTATATTGGGATCTATATGACGTGGACCTACATAGGCATTGTTTGTCATAAGCCATTACCATATAAAATGAAATAAACGGTGAATAATATAGCTATAATCATCAAAATATCGTATATAGGGAGGTACCGGTATATCGGAGCTGTGCGAAGACCTGGACCAGCATAGACAATTTTCTGTCATAGGCTGTAGCATATATTACAAACTTCAAATACCAAATTTGAAACAATTGCGGTGAATAATGACGCTAAAATCATCAAAATACCAAATATCGGGAGGTACCGTTATATGGGGGTTATACGCAGACGTGGACCTGCACTGACAATTTTCTGTCACGGGCTGTAGTATCCATTACGAATAACAAATACCAAATTTGAAACAATTTCGACGAATAATGTCGCTAAAATCATCAAAATACCGAACATCGGGAAGTACCGTTATATGGGGGCTATATGAAATCGTTGACCTACATGGCACATTTACGAACTTAACCTGCCCACTGGAAAAATAAACATGTGTGCAAAATTTTAGCCTACTATCTCAATTCTTTCGAAAGATAGCGTGATTACAACAGACAGACAGACGGACAGACATACCGACGGACATCGCTAAATCGACTTAGATTTTTACGCTGATCAACAATATATATATATATACTTTGTTGGGTCTGACATGAGTATTTCGAGGAGTTACAAACGGAATATCAAAATGAATATACCCTCCATGGTATGGTGGAGGGTGTAAAAAGCCCTTACACGAACTGTTAGATCGAATCTAAAGTTTTAAGGTGGACCTCTTGCTGACGAAGTAACAGACACTTGCGTCTCCCAAATAATCCGATAGGAGTAGTTGATATGGTCCAAACAAGACACATGGTTATATTTATCTCAGAATTATATAAAAGTGTGAAATGACTATTCAATCCTCTAATTATCTATAACGTGATTATTTCCCAAAAAGCACATCTCAGGATTTAAAATCAACACATATCACGGAAAATAGTCTAGTAAACTCAATCATTTATGAAACATAAGTATCTATTTCACAGCCGCTACCAACACCAAAATACCATATCTCAACATATATCCTTCTACTGCACAAGACACACAATGACGTCACATGCCAGAAAAAACTCTTATCAATGAATTTCATTGAGAAAACGAAACTTCATTCATGAAAAGTGTGAAACGACGTATAACAACAAGAAGAACAAATTGCAAATAATAAAATTCCTTGAAGCATAAAATACAAAAAAAAAAATAAATAAATAAAGGATGTAGGATTCTGTGCCGTAGTGTGACAGAGCGATAAGGAAAAGAGAAATAAATCAGATTCCATTTAATTGAAATCCAATAAAAAAATACGACATGACAATATGTTCGGTGTTAAGGAATCTTAGAGTATAAAAGGAGTTAGAAAATGTTGAAAGGACCACAGTCACTGTAACGACTTCGAACGAAACAAATCGAATATAACAAAAGTGCAATCGCGACATAAGTAAATATTTAAAGGCAAATCGAAAAATTTTCAAAAGAACTCAATTTGTTCATATCCGCAAAAGTAAAAGTACCGAGACAGTTAATTCAAATTTTAAAGTGAAAATGTTATTTGGCTCCTGGCAGTTAAAAGCTGCTTTAAGCCTTCTATTGTTGGTTCCAATTTTTGGTCAACATCTAACGCGAACATGTGAACGAGACTATTGTTTTGAACGAAATGATCCTGGCATAGCATGGGAAGTGAACCGCCATGAATTTTCTAAACATATCAACATCGGCGACAACCGCATTGTTAGAGAACGAGCTCAGATTTTTGATCGCGCCGATGATACTATGCGGCAATATCGAGAAGAGAGAGAATCTCGTTCTCCGAATGATCGCATAAACATTAGAAATGCTGATCGGAGAATTTCGCGAGAACGCTTAGACGACCGACGTAATGGTCTAGGTGTGGAACGCGATCGTGAAATTCGTTATCGTCGCGATGAAAATATATCTGAACTACGAAACCATAATGAGCGCGAGGATCGCCGTATTGGACAATATAGCCAACGTATTGAGAATCAAATGGATAATGTTGTAGACTCTGAAAGGTCTCGGCGAATTACTAATCGACGCAGTGAAGAAAAATTGGAACACGAAATCCGTGAACAACCGGCAGTACGTCGTATAGAAACACGAGGAATGTTGGAAACCGAGGAAAATGTTTCACTTCGCGAAAAAAGGCGACAAAGGAATTATCGAAATGAAGAAACCTCAAAACGTCGGGAAGACCAAATTCGTAATGAAAGGCAAGAAGTTGAAGAAAGTAAAGAAGAAAATAATAACCGAATCCGAGAAGAACGAAATGATATTAGGCGAGAATCGGAACGAGACATGCAGACCAGACGTGAACTTAAAACAGAACGAGATGCACGACGATTTGACTCTAGAAAAAGCAATGATGAAATTGAATTGAGTCGACGAGAACGAGATGCCCGAGAAGGAAGACGTCAAATTGAATCAGGACGCTCTAGCGATCGTATACGCGAAGTTCGTCAAAGACGTGACGAAAACAAAGACACCTCCTTGCGAGTTGAATCACGGCGAGCTGGTGATAGTCGACGTGAAGTTAGGGAGACTCGAAACGACGACAGGCAAGAAACACGCGAGCGCTTGGAAAGAACCTCAATTCGAGACGATCGTTATGATGATGAACGAGATAATAGGCAACAGCGCTCCAATGAAGTTGAATCCTTGCGAGTTGGATCACGGCGAGCTAGTGATAGCCGACGTGAAATTAGAGAGACTCGAAACGACGATAGGCAAGAACAACGTGAACGCATGGAAAGAACCACAATTCGAGGTGGACGTGAAGATGAATCACGAGAGAATAGGCAAGAAGAGCTACGAAGCTCCAATGAAGCTGAAACCAATCGAATTCGTGACGGAAACAAAGAAACCTCTTTGCGAGTTGAATTACGGCGTGATAGACGACGTGAAATTAGGGAGAATCGAAACGACGATAGGCAAGAACAACGTGAACGCATGGAAAGGGCCTCAATTCAAGATATTCGTGACAATGCACGAGACAACAGGCGGCAAGATCATCGGCGATCCAGTGCAGAAGAATTCGGTCGAATTCGTTTGGACGGACAAAATGAAAAATCCACATTACGAGTTGAATCTCAGCGATCTAGCGACAGGGGACTTGGAGATACTCAAATGTTGGTAGAAAAGGATTCCGATCGTATTCGTGATGTTCGACAAAGGCGAGATGAAAATAAAGACAACATTTCCCGAGTTGAACCAAGGCAATCTGTCGACCACGATCGTGAAATTAGAGATACACCTGATGATGAGAGACTAGAAGAACGAGAACGCAGGCAAGAAGTCTCAAGACGTATTGACTCTCAACGATTAGCTGCTGAACGAACTCGTGAAGTTCGAGAGCGACGAGACGAAGATAATACGGAACGAAGCAGTCAACGAATTGAACGACAACTTCAACTACGAGAACTTCGCGGCCGAAGGGAAGAAGTCACACGAAGGGAAGATATCTCTCGTGGTGAAAGAATTCGTGAAGTTTCAGAGAGACGAGGTGAAGACAGTAGGGAACGAGACTCTCAACGATTTGAAAGACAAAATGAAGCACAGGAACAGAGCGAACGACGAAGGGAAGAAACCTCACGACGAGTTGAATCGCTAAGATCTGATGATGAAATAATTCGTGAAGTTCGTGAGAGGCGTGACCAGGACAACAGAAATGAAGAGCGTGAAACCCGTATACGACAAAATGAAAATAACCTGGAACTCGAACAAAGAAGTATTATCCAATACCGTAATGCCGATGATAGCCTGACTAGACGTGAAGAACGCTCCCTAGAAAATAGAGACAATCGTCTTCGTAAAGTTCAACAACGACGTAATGAGAACGAAGAAAGGACATTGCGAGAAGAAAGCACCTCTCGGCGAGAAGAGAACGAACGCCGCTCAATTGAACTTCGCGATGTAGAAAACAGAAGCGGAGAAAACAATAGGAGTTCCGACAATGCTCGCAATGAACGTGAACGCCTTGACGAACGTAACCATAAAGGTAAACGGAATGTTCGAGAGGAAGACTCTGCATCCAATCGTAAAATCGACGAGCGACGTCTTGAAAATAACCAAAGGCAAACCGATCGTATCGAAAGAGAAATAAGAGCTCGCGAAGTTCGGCAACGATGGGATGACAATAAATCTCGAGCACATCCAAATGCATTAAGGGAAGATCGTTCTGATAGCAGGCGAGAAGAATTCGAGCGAAATGACGAAAGCAGACGCCAAATCGAAACACGGCGTTTGATTTCTTCAGATGGAAGTATTCGTGAAGTAGATGAACGCCATGATGTGCGTGACAGGGTTTCCAACAATGTACGTCAAGTTCGTGAAATCAACCGTGAAGATGCACAAGATGTTCGACTAGAGAGATCCCCATTGAATCGTGAAATCAGAGAAAGCCGAGTAGATGATAGGCTTGTTAGCAAGGAGAGAGAAACCGAACGCGGATCTAACAATGTCGAAAGAGAAATGAGTCGTGAAATCCGAGAAAGACGCAATAAATATGTCGGCAATAGGTTCGAGTCGCGAACTGCTAACGACTTTGAGTCCGAAAGGATTCGTGAAATTCAAGATCGACGTGAACGAGAACTAGATAGTCAAAGGGAGCGTGAGGAACGGGAATCACGGCGAACAACTGAAGACAGGATTAACGAACGGCGAGTTGTTCGTAAAGACGAACATGATGATTCTACCAGAGCAGTGACAAGAGATCGCGAGGTCCGAGAACTAGGTGATTATAAAGAAACTCGTGAAGCTGTTGCTAGATGCCACGAAAATGAAAAACGCGATGTTCGCTCATATGATATTGCACGGTGTCACCATTCTGAAGAAGAACATCGTGAAATTCGTGAAAGACATGAGGAAACTAGACAAAATCGTGAAATCCTCAATGAAGACAACAATCGACGAGTTGAGTCAACGGACAGGGATGAAAATATCATATCTAGACAAGAAATTGATGATGATCGTGAAACTCAGCGTCGCCGTACTGAACGGATTAGTCGCCAGGATGTATCACGACGAGCAAACGAAAAGACATCTGGTATCAATCGTGCCCAACGCGTTGATGGAAGGCGGGAACGTGAGTCAAGACGATTAGTTGCAGAAGAAAATGAACATTTGTCGAATCGACGAGTAGAAACTACCAGGGATAGCCGTGAAAGAAACATCGAGCCCATTAGATCACCACACTCTGTAGTTGTTGATTCTCGACGAATTTCTCAAATTAATGAGCGGCGGACTGAATCTCGTGAAAATTTCTATGTTCTTGAGCGAGATATATCACGTCGTTCAATGGACGTTGAGGAACGCCGTCAACGAGTTGAGTCATGCGACCATGAACATTTACAACGTATATCAGCTGAAAATAGAAGGAACCATCTGGGTGAAAACGAGAATCGCAACATTCGCTACATTGAAGAAGAATCTGTAGAAGAGGCTTCGTTGTCGTTTAAAAGAACATATGTAATGCTAGGACAAGGCTTCATCTTATCCCTCATTGTGGCTCAAACACTAGGCGGCAAAATGGCAATGAAGTAAGTATCCCCCTTCTTAAAGGCGAATACCCAAATAACATTTATCTATTTTTAGATACCAGAATATTCCCCAAAAGGTACGAGACACGTTGGCTTTATTAGGATTTTAAGGTATTAATGAATATGGACCACACGAAATCGACGGAATAATGTGACTACCCATGGCTATGATTCTTAAGAAACACTGTACATATTTTAATTTGATTTAAAATTTTTGTTTTGTTTAACCCAAACATGTATTTTAAAGCAAATGTGTACCTAAAAGCAAAGTTGATAGAATCTTAAATAAAAATCAGCAGCAGTTATCCAATATTGTTGTGTTATCCGTTAAAAAAATATATTTGTGAGCAACGAGTTTAACCAAATATACAAATATCTATATAAACAATATTCTTTATTTAATTGTTATAAAACATAATTTTATGCAAATAAATGATAAAATATGCAACATGAATATATCTGTGTTTCCTTCCATATTTTACGAGGATTTTAGAATTTTGGGAGCCTCAAATGTGAGATTCACCTTATAAAAATTATAATTTATTAAATTTATTATGCAATTCGAAATAATTAGTACTACTTCATCATCGCTCATGAGAAAGCAACTCAGTCTTTGGCACCATATAACAATTCCGTCTTATATTAAAAGATTTTAAAGTACTCAACTGAATATAGAAGTTAGTGCAAGCACTTTTTTATTTTACAACTTCTCGTTTTTAGATAATTTCCAAACTTGTTACATCGTAATATTTTTCTCAAACAACAATAATTTTACAAATAATTACAACTCTTATAAAAGAAAAAGATGTAAGAATCCGATTGTCTTCAAATTTCACACACCCCAATATTTATATTAACCCAAGGTCTGGTGTTAAGATGGAATATATCGGTCCACTCCTTCTGGTACCTACCCCACACAAGGTCGAAATTTTCAAAAAAAAAAAACAGGAAATTTTTTTTTTTTGTACAGAAAGAGAAGCAATAATTCGGGTTTGCTCCAACTTTGCAATCCTAATATTTGCGCCAGTTCTAGGTCAGGTACAAAAATGGATAATATCGGTCCACTCCATCAAAAGCCTCCCCTACAAAGGGTAAACATTTTGAATAATTATAAGTCTTATAAAATGTGATGTAAGAATCCGATTGTCTTAAAATTTCACACATCCCATTATGTTCATGAACCCAAGATCGAAATTTTAAATATCCATTAAACTTATAAAACGCGAAATTGACATCCGATTCCATCAACAGAACACAGTCCAAACCTAGAACGTCGCAATGTTTATATCATATTTATTTAGGTCCGATACGAAATGACCAATATTGGCCCATTACTTCGGAACCTACTGCATAACAGATTAAATATTTGGATAATCATAACAGAAGTCAAAATATTTTTAAATAATCGAACGTTGGCTGAGGTTATACATCTGTCGGCAAAACCGAACGATAATTTTTTACTTGTTTCAAATGTAAGTTTAATAAATTTGTGGTCGAGGTCTTTGTTTTATTAAACTACAGTCGAAATGAATTTAAAATAAAGGTCGAATTGAAGGACTAAAAATCAGAATTTCTTTTAAAATAAAAATAAAACAAACCCTAGAAAAAAAGTATTTATTATGATGCTCTAGGATATACAATGTTTTTTATTTTTCCTTCAGGAGCGTTAACAAACAAATCACTCGGTCTACCCACGCGTGAACATGCCTGGTACAGCTTTCCATGAGAAAAGCAGGGACATGCCAAATGTAGTACGCATACACGAAGAGTTTGTCCTTGGGATGTATTAATTGTCGTTGCAAATGCCAAGCATATAGAAAACTACAATCTTTTAAAGGTGAACGGCATTTTATTGCTATTGAGGGATTCGAGCTAGCTATACGTGTAAACCTACATGCTTCCCCGAAACAATCGCAATCTCATTTAAATTATTTTTTAGTTTTTACAGTTACTAATAATATCCAAATCTGAACCATTTTCAACATAAATAGGCAAATTTATTTTTGTGCCAAATTGCGTCATTCATTCCAAATTTCATGGGAATCGGACCAACAAATCGTGTTTGGTGCATCAAATATATGAAATCGACCGAAAATATATATATAGGAGCTATATGCAAAACTCTGAACCGATTTCAATATAATTTGGCAGATTTATTTTTGTACCGAATTTCGTTACACAATCCAAATTTGAAGACCGATTAATGGATATGTGCGCACAAAAAGAAAAATGTTCGAAAATACACCCGATTCTGACAATATATCTCCAAAACGTTAAAATTGAAAATAACTACTTAAAAAAACTGCAGTCAGTACTCCGACTAACATACACCCTCAACATTTGATGAAATTTTATCTTCTAATTTTATTAGTATAAGTATATATGGATCTTCCTATCTCGCCGAGCCGAGTCGATCTAGCTATGCATGTCCGTCTGTCCATGTCAATTTGTAATCACTCTACAGGTCGCAATTATGGCCCGATCACGAAATTTAGAATGGACGTGGGGTTAGGGCTAGAATAGAAGCCTATTGCTTGATCGCATAATATTTAGAGGTTGAAATGGACCAAAAACTGAAAAAATTACTGATTTTGCAGTTGCTCTACGGGTCGCAATTATAGACCAATCGACGCGGAAGTTTGCATAGGATTAAAACGCGAATATTTTTAATCCCGGAAAAATCACAAATTGACGAACATGTCAATTCTGACCTTTACGTAGATGCCGGTAGTTAATATATCGGATATATATAGCGAAATATATACAATGTGTATTTACAAAGGAAGGGGATGTTAGCTAGAATGTTTATAGCTCAAAAATGGCTGGAAGGATTTTGACAAATTTTTGTCAATTTAGAATGCCCCTTGGATAAAAGTATAAAATGTAAAAAAAAAAACGCATAAAAGATGCCAATAATGATGTTAATATAGATTTTGTAGTATTTTGTATTTTTTTTTTTATTTTTTCATATTTTTAATCGCATGCGATTTCTTCAATTTAACCTATAATAAATAAGTGTACATTTTGTACACCTTACAACACAGGTTGGGATTATTATATACAGATTGCATTTGTCGTTGGATCCTCACGAAAATTGTCATAAGGGTAGGGTTAAGCACAGAAGGGCTAGGTCTATTGTTTTCAAAGATGTCCTCAATATATTTAGGGGTTGAAATGGACCAACAAATAAAAATGTTCCTGATTTTGCAGCCGTTATAAAAGTCACAAATAGAAACAAAAGAACACTAAATCTGGCACGAAATTACAGTTTAGGACAGCGTGTAGTATGGACCAAAACTTTTGCGTGAAAAAAATACCAACATTTCCATTTTATCGAAACGCTGAAAATAACTTGCATGCGAAACCAAAAATACACAAAAGGCGAACTTCTGGCTTTTTACGCTGATTTCGTTGAGGAATATAGACAAATATCGTAGACAAGCAAATCATATAGATGAGAATAAATTTGGAGATACAGAGCAGTCTCTTGCTTTTGGAAATGATGACAAAATATTTAGGGGTTCAAATGAACCAAAATGGATGGCCATTGGAATATATTTAGCTGTAAAATGGACCACAACAACTAACAGCACGACGGAGTGCGTAAATATTGGGCAAATGTCCCTGGTCAAAATACTAAGGGTAATATCTGGGCAGTGCTCAGTGACAAAACTTCAAAATCTTTCAAAATGGATTTGGACACAAGGGGTCTTCTAACATATTTTAGGGTTGTAGGGTATCACATGGTCGGCCCCACACGACTATAGCCTTTGCTTACTTGTTTTTTTTTTTTTTGATTAGTTGGACCCACCCCTGAGATGATATCGAAATATGTTTCTGTGTTCGTCCCTGTAATGCAGCATAACTTTGAGAAAATTACGGAATTCGTCTTTTGTAGCAGAGGTATTAAAAGAAGTCGACCATCATATCTTCATGCGAAAAATATAGACCTTTTGGGGAGGATAAGAGAAATTGAAAGCCAATATTTTCCAAATTGCTTCCTTACATAAGTCTTTTAAAATATTATCACAGACCAAATTTGTATAACCGATACATGTGATTTTTTTTAACTTTTATATGGAGGTACGAAAATGGACTATTGCCACACTAGTCCATTTTCGCCTCTGATCTATGTCTTATACAAATACTGCGATATGCGAAGGTTACTCACTGAGTAAGAGATTATTTTTAATATTATTATTTTTATTTTATGCTTGAAAAATTGTTTAACTTTTCTGCTGGAGGTACCAGGATTACTTTAACAATAGCCACTTGTGGTTTTCCAGCCAAATATAAAGAAATCACGCTTGAATTCCATCACGAATAACTTTTTTCTGGAAAATTCTTACCAAAATGCTTTTGTACGCTTGTAAACAATGTAATGAGCTGTGACTGAAAAAATTTTAACAGCTGTCGGACGAGTGGCTTAAAAATGACAGCAGTCTGAAATTGGTTGCCGTTTTTTCATCTCGCCCTGTATAGGTTCACGATATCGTATAGCCCACCCACAACAATATTCAGTATTTTGATGATTGTGGCCACATTTTTTAATAGAATTGTCAGAAATTCAACACCAGGAGATATTTGTGAGTAATATATCCCCGGGAAGATAATTGTCTACATAGGTTCACGATATCATATAGCCCCCATACAACGATACCCCCAATATTTGGTATTTCGATAATTGTGGGCAATTTTTTTTTCATGGTGTAGAGATTTTTGTGAGTACTTTACCCCCTCAAAGAGAATTGTCTACATGGATCAATGATATCCTATATCACCCATGCAACGGTACCATCCGATATTTGATTTTAGCCATACTCTTTATTGGAATTGTTTAAAAGTTGGTGTTTAGAGTAGAGCAACGGGTTCTACATTATGTTGTACAATATTGTCTATATAGATCCACGTTTTCCTATAGCCACCTTATATAATTATTTGATGTTCCGTATTATTACATAAGGGACTTTTCAAATGGTGCAACAGCATTGGAATGCTCAATCTGGCAGTTCTTGCCTTAAATTTGACCAAGCTTTTTTATTAACTACTTCAATTGATCAAATAGTGATGTAAATATCTTATTTATCGAGTGACAATCTTAACTCGATTATAAATAGGCACCATTTTATTAGCTAACTTGATGGATATTTTTCTACCCATTCAATGACGTCACAATTTACAAAATATTCGCTTGAATGAATTTCGAAGGCATTTCATTCATAAAAACCTAAACATATCTACAAAGGATGTGGGATGGATGTCCTGGTGTACATGTGCGATAAGAGAAAAAATAAATTGCATTTACTCCAATTAAATTGCCGTCAAAAAAATATTTCTGCGTTAAGGAATCTTAGAGTATAAAAGGAGTTGGAAAATGTTGGCAGGACCACAGTCACTGTAACGACTTCGAACGAAATAAATCGAATATAAAGAGAGTACAAACGCGACAAAAGTAAATATTTAAAAGCAAATCGAAAAGTTTTGAAAATAACTCAATTTGTTCATATCCGCAAAAGTAAAAGTATCGGAGAAGTTAATTTCAATTTTGAAAGTGAAAATGTTATTTGGCTCCTGGCAGTTAAAATCTGCTTTAAGCCTTCTATTGTTGGTTCCTATTTTTGGTCAACATCTTACTCGAACATGTGAACGAGACTATTGTTTTGAACGAAATGACCCTGGCATAGCATGGGAAGTGAAATCGCCTGACAGCTTAATCAATCGCCATATCAACATCGTCGACAACCGAATTGTTAGAGAACGAGCTCAGATTCTTGATCGCACCGATGATACTATGCGGCAATATCGGGAAGAGAGAGAATCTCGATCTCCGGATGACCACATAAACACTAGAAATGCTGATCGGAGAATTACACGAGAACGCTTAGAAGACCGACGTGATGGTCAAGGTGTGGAACAAGATCATGAAAATCGTTATCGTCGCGATGAAAATATATCTGAACTGCGAAACCCTAATGAGCAAGAAAATCGTCGTATTGGACAACATAGCCAACGAACTGAAAATCCCATGGATAATGTTGTTGACTCTGAAAGGTCCCGGCGAATTACAAATCGACGCAGTGAAGAGAGATTGGAACACGAAATCCGCGAAAAAACTGCATCACGTCTCATAGAAACCCGAAGAATGTTTGAAACGGAGGAAAATGTTTCACTTCGAGAAGAAAGGCTACAAAGAAATGATCGAAATGAAGAAACCTCGCGACGTCGGGAAGAGCGTAAAGAAGAGAATAATCCAATCAAATCACAGCAAACTGGAAATTATCGAATTCGACATGAACGAAATGCTTATAGGCAGGAGTTGGAACGTGACGTGCAGACCAGACGTGAACTTAAAACAGAACGAGATGCACGGCGATTTGACTCCAGGAAAGCCGATGATAAAATTGAATTGAGTGGACGAGAACGAGATGCCCGAGAAGAAACACGTCGAATTGAATCAGGACGCTCTAGCGATCGTATAAGCGAATTTCGTCAAAGACGTGACGAAAACAAAGACACCTCCTTGCAAGTTGAATCACGGCGAGCTAGTGATAGTCGACGTGAAGTTAGGGAGACTCGAAACGACGACAGGCAAGAAAAACGCGAGCGCTTGGAAAGAACCTCTATTCGAGACGATTGTTATGATGATGAACGATATAATAGGCAACAGCACTCCAATGAAGTTGAATCGAATCGAATTCGTGACGAAAACAAAGACACCTCCTTGCGAGTTGAATCACGGCGAGCTAGTTATAGCCGACGTGAAATTAGAGAGAATCGAAACGACGATAGGCAAGAACAACGTGAACGCACGGAAAGAACCACAATTCGAGGTGGACGTGTTGATGAAGAACGAGAGAATAGGCAAGAAGAGCTACGACGCTCCAATGAAGCTGCAACCAATCGAATTCGTGACGAGAACAAAGACACCTCCTTGCGAGTTAAATCACGGCGAGCTAGTGATAGTCGACGTGAAATAAGTGAGACTCGTATCGGTGATAGACAAGAACAACGTGAACGCATGGAAAGGGCCTCAATTCGAGATGATCGTGACAATGCACGAGACAACAGGCGGCAAGATCATCGGCGATCCAGTGCAGAAAAATTCGGTCGAATTCGTTTGGGTGGACAAAACGAAGAATCAAAATCACGAGTTGAATCTCAGCGATCTAGCAACAGGGGACTTCGTGCTTTAAATGAACGTAATGAGCAAAGCCGAAAGGATTCCCAAAATTTGGTTGAAACGGATTCCGATCGTATTCGTGATGTTCGACAACGGCGAGATGAAAATAAAGACAACATTTCCCGAGTTGAACCAAGGCAATCTATCGACCACGATCGTGAAATTAGAGATACACCTGGCTATGATAAACTGCAAGAACGAGAACGCAGGCAAGAGGTCTCAAGACGTATTGAATCTGAACGATCAGCTGCTGAAAGAATTCGTGAAATTCGAGAGCGACGAGACGAAGATAATACGGAACGAAGCAGTCAACGAATTGAACGACAACTTCAAGTACACAAACTTCGCAACCAGAGGAAAGAAGTCTCACGAAGGGAAGATGTCTCCCAAAGGGAAGATGTCTCTCGTCCTGAAAGAATTCGTGAAGTTTCAGAGAGACGAGGCGAAGACAGTAGGGAACGAAACTCTCAACGATTTGAAAGAGAAAATGAAGCACAGGAACAGAGCGAACGACGAAGGGAAGAAACCTCACGACGAGTTGAATCTCTAAGATCTGATAACGGTATAATTCGTGAAGTTCGAGAAAGGCGTGACCAGGACAACAGAAATGAAGAACGTGAGACTCGTATCCGACAAAATGAAAACAGCCTCGAACGAAGACGTAATGTCCAATACCGTAATGCTGATGATAGACTGGCTAGACGTGAAGAACGCTCCCTAGAAAATAGAGACAATCGTCTTCGTGAAATTCAACAACGACGTAATGAGAACGAAGAAAGGACATTGCGGGAAGAAAGCACCTCTCGGCGAGAAAAGAGCGATCGACGATCAATTGAAATTCGCGATGTAGAAAACAGAAGCGGAGAAAACAATAGGAATTCCGACAATGTTCGCAACGAACGTGAACGCCGTAACCATGAAGATGAACGAAATGTTCGAGACGAAGACTCTGCATCCAATCGTCAAATCGTCGAGCGACGTCTTGAAAATAACCAAAGGCAAACCGATCGTATCGAAAGAGAAATAAGAGCTCGTGAAGTTCGACAACGACGAGATGACAATAAATCCCGAGCACATCCAAATGCGTTAAGGGAAGATCGCTCTGAGAGCAGGCAAGCGGAATTCGAGCGAAATAACGAAAGCAGACGGCAAATCGAAACACGGCGTTCGATTTCTTCAGATGAAAATATTCGTGATGTAGATGAACGCCGTGATGTGGGTGACAGGGTTTCCAACAATGTACGCCAAGTTCGTGAAGTCAACCGTGAAGACGCACAAAATGTTCGACTAGAGAGATCCCCATTGAATCGTGAAATTAGAGAAAGCCGAGTAGATGATAGGCTTGTTAGCAATAAGAGAGAAACCGAACCTGGATCTAATAATACCGAAAGAGAAATGAATCGTGAAATCCGAGAAAGACGCAATGACTATATCGGCAATAGGTTCGAATCGCGAAGTGTTAACGACATTGATCCCGAAAGGATTCATGATCGACGTGAACGAGAACTCGCTCGTCGAATGGAACGCGAGGAACCGGAATCACGAGGAACAAGTGATGATGAATTTGAAAGGAACAACGAACGGGGAATTGTTCGTAAAGAAGAACATGATGATTCTACCAGATCAGTGAAAAGAAATCGCGAGGTCCGAGAACAAGGTAATGATAAAGAAACTCGTGAAGCTCTTGCTAGACGCCACGAAAATGAAAGACGCGATGTTCGCTCATATGATATCGCACGGCATCAGCACGCTGAAGAAGAACATCGTGAAATTCGCGAGAGACGTGAGGAAACTAGGCAAAACCGTGAAATCCTCAGTGAAGATAACAATCAACGAGTTGAATCAACGGACAGGGATGAAAATATCATATCAAGGCAAGAAATTGATGATGATCGTGAAACTCAGGGTCGCCATACTGAACGCATTAGCCGAAATGATATTTCACGACGATCAAACGAAAATAGATCTAGTATCAGTCGTACCCAACGCGTTTATGAAAGGCAGGAACGTGAGTCAAGACGATTAGTTGTAGAAGAAAATGAACATCTGTCGAATCGACGGATAGAAAATACCAGGGATAGCCGTGATAGGAACTTCGAGTTTATTAGATCACCAAGGGATGCAAATGAAGAACGTCGTCAACGAGTTGAGTCCCGCGACCAGGAACGTTTGCAACGTATATCAGCTGAAAATACAAGAAACCATCTGGGTGAAAACGAGAATCGTAACATTCGCTACCTTGAAGAAGAATTTGTAGTAGAGACTTCCCTATCATTTAAGAGGACATATGTAATGCTGGGACAAGGCTTAATCCTATCTCTCATTGTGGCTCAAACACTAGGCGGCAAAATGATAATGAAGTAAGTATCCCCCTTCTTAAAAGCGAATACCCAAATAACGTTTATCTATTTTTAGATACCAAAATATTCCACAAAAGTTACGAGACACTTTGGCTTTATTAGGATTTTAAGGTATAAATGAATATGGACCACACGAAATCAACGGAATAATGTGACTACACTTGGATATGATTCTTTAGAAACACTGTACGTTTTTTAATTTGATTTTAGATTTTCGTTTTTTCTTTTTTGACCCAAACATGTATTTTAAAGCAAATGTGTACCTAAAAGCAAAGTAAATATATCCTTAAATAAAAATCAGCAGCAGTTATCCAATATTTTTGTGTTATCCGTAAAAAAAATTTGTCAGCAATGAGTTTAACAATTCAAAGAGTTTAAACAATATACATGTATATATACAAACAATATTCTATATTTAATTGTAATAAAACATCATTCTACGCAAATAAATTATGAAACAAGCAACATAAATGTTTATGTATTTACTTCTTAGAACTTATTAGAGGAAGTGCTTAATGCCGTGTGAGTCTAAATTAGTTCAGCTTTACTGACATGAATCTTTTTTGATACAACTTATACAATTTTCGATAAATCGGGTAAGGTTCCCATTCAATCTTTCTTAGAACCATAAAACAGTTCCATATATCCATACATGGACCGTTTGACAGTATTTTTGGGTTTTCGACTGCCAAAAAGTTGTATACGTCGAAAACTTGTAATATCTGTGTAAAACGTCATAATTTCTAAAATAATGTACATACTATACATCCAAAGTTGGTTGATAAACGTTAAGGTTGTATTATTGCAAGGCCGCTGGTCATAATAATAGCCTTCCATAGAAATATTTTCCATTGAAAAAATTTTTAATAACTAACCGAACTGGCATTAAGGTTCAATAAAACGGCGTTTTTTTTTTTTTTGTTTGTTTTCCTAGAATATGTTAAACGTTAGCATTCGCAATTTTTGATCCATATTCAAGGTTTAATGTAAAAATATAAACGCCTAGAAGTATGCTTTCAATTTCCATTATAAATTTAACATTGCAAAAGTAAGCAATTCTGAGCCAGCATTTGCTTGTGACCTTATATTCCTTATATTGCTAAAATGTAGGTGTTTTTAATTCAATAACACTCGATCCAAATTACAAAATCTCAAAATGATTCCATTCTATTAACATTTTTCAACTAGTACATTTACTACAATACTTCCCGCATTTCGTTACTATAACTAAACACTGCACTGAAAACCAACTTCATCCGCCTCCAATAAACACAACACTTATGTAATATATAAGACAGTATAAAATTATATTTTGTTCCTAATTACATCGTAGTATTTAAACGATCTTGTATTTCCTTTTTGGTTTTGGGTCCTACATTGGCTATTGGTGAAGGTTCTTTTGAAGTATTGCTCCCCTCAGCAGATGTGTTTCTACATTTGTTTAAAAGTCTCTCGGCCTTAGCGTTATCGTATTCCTTTAGTTCGGCCAATTTGAGGGGTATGCTTTGCAGTTCGCGTTTACGCATCTGGAAATGCACAAAAACAATAATAATTTCGAAGTTATTTAATATCGTCAGAACTTACCTTAGATTTTTTAGATTTTGGCGTTCACGACAGCCGGTAAACAAACAAAATAACAAAACAAGACAGCTGTTGTGTAGGGATACCAAAGTCGATTTTTTGACAAATCGATTGGTTGACATTTTTGGAGATTCGATGAATTTATAACAGGTTTACACGTTAAAATATTTGCAATTTAAAATATGTTTGCTAAGTTCCACTGGTATATTCTTGCAAGTTGTGGGGCTCAACTCTTGTTCGCTGAGAATCTGAAATGAAAACTTTAATAAAATAAACTTATAATTCTATGCTCTGTTCCATAGTAAAATGAAGAAGGTAACGTCATATGAAATATTAATATCCATCTCCGTATTTTCTGTAATTTACCTTGTCAAATTTCACTGAAAAGTTTTAAGGCTACCATCACTGATTTGTGTGTATATAGAAACATACATTTTGACGATGAGTTGTTGTCAAAGTAATAATTTTGAAAAAATTGCAAACCTATGATATAATAACTTAAACTTCTTGATCTCATTGAAAAATAGGTTGTCGTAGTAAAAACTTTTACATTCTTTCAGACCATATTATAGAACAAAGCAGTTATCAACCATATAAAAGGATTTTATTGAATATCATACCAGTAAGATCATACCAGCAAGAATCTAAAATTTTTTTCTAATACCAGCAAGAATGCTTTGTTCCAGAACTCACAAGAATCAACAAGTTTTGCATTTTTTCGATATCATAAAGAGAAAATCGGCTATCGTTGTAAAAACTTTTACATTCTTGCAGTTTTTGAACAGTCCAATAAAGGGAAATTCGTTATCGTAGTAAAAACTTTCACATTCTTGCTGTTCAGGAACCGACCAATACTCTAAATCAATTTTTCACAGGGCAATATAAGATCAATCCGAGAGAAATGTTTCGTAAGAATACACTATTTTTGCAAGTTTTTTAGACATCATACAGGAAAAATCGGTTGTTGTAGTAAAAACGTTTATATTCTGCAGTTCTGGATGTGTGTTTGTGTATGTTTTTATTATTTCGAAAAAACAAAATGTTTTCATCATCAAAGATTGGAATGAAAACATCTTGTTTCATATAATTTTGAATAATTCCAGCAAAAAGCGGGCATAGCCTCAAGGCTTTATTTCTGTAGTTTAACGAAGGTGTTCTATTGCTTTATTTTACCATGGTTTCAAGTGAAAATTCTCTGTTCCAGAAATGCAAGAATGTAAAAAAATCTACTACGATAACCAATGTTTCTTTTATGAAATCGAAAAAAATCCGTTACTAGTACATTCCCTCTGGTTCTGAAACATGTGAACTTGGTATGTATAAATGTAGTCTCATATTTTATTATCTCACAATCGTAAACCGATTACAAAAAGTCAACTTAGCACTTTTCACCACGGGCAAAATTCGACCACTACACCCTTCAATTCCAAAAGTCGATAGTCGACTGCGGTATCCCTATTCTCATGGCGAGAGACAAAGTCAAGTCGCGTAGTTATCAGTTTGTTAAATAAATTATACCTCAATGGATTAAAATTATGAGATGATTTTTAATTAAATTATTTTTTGTATTTGTGTACGTTTTGTTCTGCATAAAGAATTAAAAAAAATAAATAAATAAAGAAATCTGCGGAAAGAGTCATCACATTGTCTTTGTGGTTGAAGTGTATTGGTGTAAGTGCATGTGAAAGAGGATATGTATGTAAAATACAGAATAAAAGTTGAGATGCAATAAAAAGTGAAATAATTTATTGTTACAATACATTCCATGAGTTGTTGTAATAACAAACTGGCAAATTTCCGGAAAGCAATATAGGAAGTGAGGAACAACAAAAGCTTTGTGTGTTAATGACAAAATCGGCTGTTTCGATACCGTTATTGAGAAAACATCCCCTTTTCCCCATCCCATTGGATCATTACTGTCTCTTTGCCATAAAGTATGACAAATGTCATCCATTACTACGCTGCTACAGCTTCGACTGGTTAACCACAACACCCTAGTGCCAAAAAAGTAGCAAACCATTTTTACAAGTGAAAGTTAAAACAAACATCAGCAATTATTTGTTGAACAATATTTTCAAGTGTGTTCCGCACCACCTTTCTGAGTAACTAAATTTGGTTAAATTCCATTTGATTGCAACAACCAGTTGAAATGGTATCGGTATCGTCGCCGTCCACCTAACGTCATCATAATCGTCATCCACATCGTTGTCGTCTAACATTGGTGTGCTCTGTTGTAGTTTTTTCTTCTTCGTATTTTATTACAATTTCAACTTAATTTACGTAATTTTTCGTTAAACTTTTGTACGCGAATATACGCGCAACAAACAGTTCGCCAGTTCCAACGATCAGACAGACAGACAACAACGACGACAACAACAACACTACCGTCAAAGTTGTTTATTTTCTTTCTTGTTGCTTACTGCTCCCCAAAGGTGTGCTCACTTTAGCAACAACAACAAAACGGCCTGATCTCTGTAATTGGTGTTGTTGTTATTTTTTTTTTCGTTTGGCGCTCAAGTGAACGGAAGCAATTCAACGAAAAACCTAATAAACAGCACGCCACGAAAACAAACCAAAAATAATAAAAAAAGAACAGCACGAAAATTACCGTGATTTCCCACGTTTTACGAGAACATAATAAAAAAACAAGTGCTTGAACACAATTATCAATATACAATAATAATAACAACAAGAGAGGAACAAAATATTTGTATTGGCGCCACAAAACAACTAAAATATTTCTACTAAATTTGGTTTAGTTGGTCGCAACAGTATTGGGAACTATTGGATTTCATACATTGGACTAGTTGGAGGCAGCTTGAATATTTCTTCCACATCATCATGGGTTTATTGATCTCAAAAATATGGAGTATGTTCGGAAATGAAGGTAAGTAGCAATAACTATTGATGGTAACAATCGCAATTCGTTTTGTTTTTTTTACGAAATATTTTTAGATATTTGGCTTATGTTAGGTTAATCGGCTTGGATTGCCCTGAAATGTTTACCACAAGTAGATAATGTCCCCCTAATCACACACATCTGAGCACATATCGCGATATGCGTTACCAAAATGAAAAAAAAAATTAATATAAAGAAAAAACGTCACGTTTACCAGAGATTTGAATTCCTGCTGATTTTGAACAATTGTTACCATGTAGCGGGCATGTGTGATGGAATCTGTTTCGATTTGTGAAATAGCAATTGGATATATTTTAGTGAATTTTTATGCTAAAAAACCAAAATGGTTTCCAACCCATACCTTAATATCTCCATACGGCAACGTTTTAAATTTTGGCGAAGGTCATCTAACCCAGCACAAACGTAAAGTAAAAAAATTAAAGAAAGTTTGTTTAAAAAGGAATATTTTGTCAGTTTTGGATATGACCTGCCGTCTGTTTGGCTGGTTCGTGCGCACGATAACTCTCGAAGGGAGTATCCGATTGTGTCCGAACTTGGTAATCGTAATATTATTATCAAACTTAGATCAAAATCTGTGGGGGAGCACAAAATGTAGAAATTTTCAAAAAAAAAAAAAAAAAAAAAAAACTACATAGAAAGACAATGGATAATCCGATTTTGCTCCAACTTTGCAAATCCTAATGTTTGTATCAGTGCTAGGTCAGGTGCGAAAATGATGTACCTACCCCACTCTTATAAAAGGTGATGTAAGTCTACTTTTTCCTTCAAATTACACACATCACAATATGTTTATTAACCCAAGATCTGGTGTGAAGATGAAATATATCGGTCCACTCCTTGTGGTACCTCTCCCATAAAGGGTCAAAATATTGAATATCCGTAAAGCAAAAAAAAAAAAAAAAAAACTCGCGAAATTAACATCCGATTCCATTCTGATTTGGCACATCTTAATATATCTATCAACACAAAATCTGTTATAAAGATGGTAAATATCGCACCATTCCTTCTGGTACCTCACCCACCAATGGTCAAAGTTTTGAATAATCAATATGATCATGAAATAAGCACCCGTTTCTATTCACATTTCACACATCCCATTATATTTACTAACACAAGATCAGCTGGGAAAATGGGATATATCGATCGGTCCACTCTTTCTGGTACCTCCCCCACAAAGAGTCAACATTTTTAATATCCAAGAAGCTCATAGGACGAGAAAACAACATCCGATTCCATTCAGACTTGGTACAGCTCTATAGCAGAAGATCTTTAATAAAGGTTGTAGAGAGTGGACCATTTCTTCTGGTACCTACCCCACATAGGGTTCAAGATTTTGAAAAATAAACCAAACGCTCACACTAACCGAAATAAGGATCAATCTCTCTTCAATTTTCACACATACAAACATTTTTGCTAACACAAGATCTGTTGTGAAGATGACAAATATCTGCGAACCCTTTCTGGTACCTCGCCCCCAAAGGGTCACAGTTTTCAATACTTTTATTCTCCTAACTTGCAAAACAAGTCAATGATTCTTTATTATTTGCTATATCTATATATTTATCTCAACCAAAAACCTGAGATGAATATGAAATTTATGATTTCTCATAAAATTGGATATAAATGTTCGATTTTCTTTTAATTTTGCCCATATCAGTACTTTTATGTGTATTAGATGAAATATGAAAATGGAATACTTCACTCAACTATATCTGGTAACTCACGCACAGTTGAACATTTTCTAAAAATGATCACATATCTGATATAAAAAGAATGAAAGAATATAGTCCAAACCTGGTACGTCACAATATTTATATCATATTTATTTACCTCTGATACGAAATACAAGAGGGTCAATAATTTGAATAATCATAACGGAAATCAAAATATATTTAAATAATCGAACATTGGCTGAGGGTATATAACTTTATGCAAAAACCGACTGTCATTTGGAATTTATATTTAATGTCAGATAAGGGCCCCTGACAACAAACAAATCCACTTGATGTATTTTTTTAAAAGGTGGTTCTCTCCTGATTTCTACGTATCTGAAGAATGCAATGACCTCTACTAATGTTAGCATACGACGTTTCAATTTAAATATTTTTTTCCAGCAATGTGTATGGCAATATTCACAAAAAGGTGCAAATATTCAGTTATAACCAATTTTGCTATCGCGACTTTTCTGAAAAATAGATCACACAAACAAGTTGTTGCACATTCATTACAAATGTACGTAACAATTTCAATGACCTGTTGACGTCGTGGCTTTTTGTTGTCAGTGCAAAGTTAAATCCACTTATAATAAATGCTCTGCCTATTAGAATAAATATATATTTCGCATCAGTCAGAGTTGAATGACTTTTTTAAGGCTTTATCAGCCGAGACGACCATTGAACGACATTTAATATTTTCAAGGTATCTATCAATTTGCATTTTTTTAATTTTGTAAAATATAACAATTATCGCATAACGAGCAATTTCTATTTTGAATACACCAATGTACGTACATACATACATAATTTTTGGTGTAGTGACGATTCTTTTTGTGTTTTTTGTGTGATTCATTTTTTTGTTTACCAATAAAAAATGACCGCCAGTATTTCTTATTTTTACTTATGTGACGCATACTTGTCTAGAAGAAGAAAATTGAATGGAATGAAATTACATACAGATTTATATGTATTTACATACAAACGTACATTTCTACGATATAAAAAGAAATTTAGTTGATTTGTTATTCAGTTAGTTGTTTTTTTTTGAATTTATAATTTTTTTTTTTCAAATTAAATGTCAAGTTCGTAGACGTTTTTCGAGGAAAATAGAGTGTAACAATAAAATACAAAGATGTCAATGTTCCCATGAGTAGTCCCCGCCTATATTTAAAGTTTGACAAGGATCAACATTGATTTGAAGAGTGTGTGTCATGTTTCAGAAACATTTTATATGACAAGTTTGTTTTCCAAATATATTTCGGACGTTTGCTTAAAATTTAGAATTTCAGCTACTGTAGTCATGAATGGGAATATGCTTAACAAACTTGGTTTTGTTTAAAATTTTTTAATTAACTGAATGAAAAATGGAAAGGTATTGATACATATCCACAATTTTGAAAATTTTGAGGACCTATGATTGACTATTTTATGGTTATCGTCATATGTGTACTATAGAAAAACGTGGACCTAATTATTCAATGTTCTACCGCCGAAGCTAGAATCAATTATTAACTACAAATACCAATTTTTTGACAAATCCGCGGAAAAATGTATCAAAAATCATCAAAAAACAGAATATCGGGATGTACCATTATACGGGGCTATAAATACAATAATTCGCCGCCGGAGCTAGAACTAATCAAATCCGTGGAAAAATGTGACAAAAGTCAACAAAATACCGAATATCGGGAGGTACCGTTTTATTTGGCCATGCCAAAACATGGACCTATACATACCATATTTCGCCGCGGAGCTAGAACCCATTATGACCTATAAATACTAATTTTTATACAAATTCTTTAAAAAAAATCGCGAAAATCATCAAAATACCGAATATCGGGAGATATTGTACGATGTACGACAATCCCTTCAAAAATTAGAACGATAAACACAGACGGACATATTTAAATCGTTTAGAATTTTACGCTGATCAAGGATATATACACTTGTTTATACCCTCAGCTGGATACGACCAAAACATGCCTCATGGAAGTAATGGTTTTAGATCCTAGGTCTCTTTAGTCCGTCCGTCTGTATGGCTGGTGCGTACGATAACTCTCGAAAGAAGTATGCCAACTTGGTACATCGTAATATTATTGTCAAATTAAAATCGAGTTCGGAGATGGGCAATATCGGTCAACTCCTTCCGGTACCTGCCACACAAAATGTCAACATTTTCAAAGAACATAATTTACATAATTTATTGCAAATCCTAATATTTGCAGCAGTGCTAAATTAGGTGCGGAAATGGAAAATATCGGTCCACTCTATCAAATACCTCCCCCACAAAGGGACAACGTTTTTAATAATTATAACTTTTCTAAGATATGATGTACGTGTACGATTGTCCTTAAATTACACACATCTCAATATTTCTATTAACCCAAGGTGTGGTGTGAAGATGGTCCACTCCTTCGGGTACCTCCCCCACAAAGAGTAAAAATTTTGAATATCCATGAAACTCATAAAACACGAAATTAACATCCGATTTCATTCAGACTTGACACATCTCAATATTTCCATAAACACAAGATCTGTTATAAAGATGGCAGAGATAGGCCCATTTCTTCTGGTACTTCCCCCTTAAAAAGGGTCGAAGTTTTAGATAACCAAAATTATCATTAAAATCGAAATAAGTATCTAGTTCCTTTCAAATTACACACATCACAATGTCTTGTGTGAAAATGAGATATATTGGTCTCCTTCTCCTGGTATCTCCCCCACAAAGGGTCAAAATTTTGAGTATTCATGAAGCTCATAAAACTTGAAATTAACATCCGATTACAATCAGACTTGGCACATCTCAATATTTCCGTCAACACAAGATTTGTTATAAAGATGGTAGAGATCGAACCATTTCTTCTGGTACCTCTACCTCAAAGAGTCGAAATTTTGAATAACCAAAACGATCATAAAAGCCGATATAAGCTTCTGGTTCTCTTCAAATTACACACATCACAATATATTTATTAATCCAAAGTCTGGTGTGAAAATGAGATATATTGGTCCCCTCCTTTTGGTACCTCCCCCACAAAGGGTCAACATTTTGAATATACATGAAACTCATAAAACGCCAAATTAACATCCGATTCCATTCAGATTTGGTACATCTCAATATTTCCATCAACAGAAGATCACTCACCCAAAAAGGGTCACAATATTCAATACTTTTATGTCATAACTTGCGAAACAAGTCGGCGATTCTTTACAACTTTCTAAATACTTCTCTAAACCCGAAATCTGATATGAATG